TTCTAAAAAACTTTTAAATGGGGGTAAGAAAATAAATAAATAAAAATGAACGATACTCAGGTCCTCACTAGTGAGGATCTACACCATCCTCACTAGTGATGTGGACCAATAATAAATCACTATTTCTGTAATTTGGTAAGTGGGTATTTACCCATCATATTAAATTTAGTAATTAAAAATGGAATGTCTACTTATTATTGACCCACATCACTAATGAGGACGGTATAGATCATCACTAGTAAGGACATAAGTATTACTCAATAAAAATTGGGCTTTGGTTTAATCTCTAAGAAGTTGGATAGTGACCATTATTAAAAATATATATATTTTAGATAAGTGTTTAAATTATATTGGGCCACATCAACTAGAAGGATGAATCATCCCAATATTGTCCATTGATAAATCTTCGTGATTTATGTGGTAACAATGAGACCATTTGGTATAATTTTCCACTTCTAGAAGGATGTAATCTGGGTAAATATTTGCTCTTTGTACTTTTACAAATTAATGACACAAATGTGTATATGTATGTTGAAAGTAGAGTGTAAAATCAAAAAAATTAGAGGATATTTTAAAAAGATAGTTGTGCCATTTTAACTTAAGAAGAAGCAAATGCAAGTGATGATATTTATAAATAGGGACGGACTGAGAAAAATTATGAGAGGGGAGACAATAATGAAATTTTGTAATAATTTTAGGAAGGCAATAGTAATATTTTAGAGATATAAAACTGAAAAATAACAAATTAATAAGGTATATTATTTTGAAAAAAAAAAAATTGGAAAGATGTGAAAAGAGGAGGAGAGGCTCACTAATTTATTGCATAATATGGAAGAAATGGACGGAAAGATTAATACCTATTTTGTTCATATTTGTATAAAACAAGTAAATATCTGTTTTACTCATATCACCGTTTCACCCATAAAATAAAAAATATATATATATTTCTTTCTTTCTTTTTTTTTCTAAACTATCTTCCCCGCAAACAATTTAAAAATAATACTATGTTTTCCTTTCATTTCCCTCATTAATCAGCCAAGCACAATTTTTTAAAAAATATTTCTTTCTTTTTTTCTTTTCTCTTCTAACTATTTTTATTGATTTTTTTTTTTCTTTGCCCCTCCTAGCTACACCAAACACAGCCTTAGAGAAAGGGTAAAAAAATTACTCTATGAAGTGTATATTTCTCTTTTATACAAATGACAATTTTTATAAAGAGAATCCACAAAGCTTAACTATTGTACCACACAATGACAGTCCAGGTTGAGTACAAAATCAACTCAGGTAGCAGGACAGATTTGTCATTGCAGCATTTCCGACCATCGTTTATTATACAGTACGTGCCCGGATCCTCTGTAGACCATAATTTTCAACACAACATATCTTTCAGTCAGATTTAATGCATTAAAAAAAAATTATATGTGTTAGATAATAGAATTAATGTGTGAACAAATTACAACAACACTACAGCACAAACGATCCCATATTGTATTTTTTTATTAGGTCGAAATTTTTTTATTTTTTTTAAGTCTTGCCAAGCAGCTCGCAGACCCTTTACCTCTAATAGAAAAATCAAAGAAAATAGAACAAATATGTTATATATATATATATATATATATATATATATATCTTTTGGGCACATACATCTTTGGTCCATTGGGATTTGAGAATAGAGAAGTGGTCCTACATTACAATTGATCTTAACTATACAAACCATCTGATCCATGGGCCAATAAGCCACTAGGCCCAAGTAAAATCTCTCTCTCTCACTTTTTTTATTTTTATTTTTCTAAAATTTGAACATTCAATCTTCCATTTTGAAAATTTGAGATAATAACAATAAGCGGTAGTTTTTTCTTTTCTTTTCTTTTTTCTTTTTCTTTTGTGGAATTCACTCTTTAATGTTGGGACCAAAAAGAAAAAACTCTCTATAGAATCCATATGAATGAATTTAGTTATGATTTTCTTTGTTTCTTTTACTCTTTTTGCAAAATATGTTTGAATGAATAGTTCTTTTTTTTTTTTGTACTCTTATGTGAGTCCCACTTTAGGCCGTCAATAACCTTAATTGTTTCACTATAAAAAGTAAATATAACAAATAGACTTGGACATATTCAACAGCCTAAAATTAAAAGTCTAGACGATAATTTTCTTTTTAATTGATAACAAATACCATATTTTATTTGGTTTTTCTTCACCCTTTATTTATTTATTTATTTATTTGATTAGTTAAGTACTCACATGCGTTTCGCAAATTGTCCCTTGCCTTCAGTGTCATCACCCTCAACTGTAAGTAAGATTTTTTTCTTTTTAATTTGTTGTGGATGTTGTGATTTTGGTCAAGTTAGGCTAGGAAAAAGAATAATAAATAAATAAATAACTGATACTACTATCACTATTACTAATAATAATAGGATTGGATTTGACCCAACTTCATTTTTTTTATTTTTTTTCGGTAAATAAATTGACCCAACTAGTCCCTTTTTTCTTTTTTCTTTTTTGTAAGTAGGATTGGACCCAACTTGAGCTCTCTTTTTTTTTTTTTTTTTGGGAGATTATATTTTGAGTATATCTCTTTATTTTTCAATAGAATCATATATAGGCACTCATTTAATATTTGTTTCAATTCTCAATACTATGAATAGAAAAGTAAAATACTCAAACTCGATCAAAATTTAACTTTTTCCACTGTACCATTTTGAATTTGAATTGTTTAAATGGCGAATTTCATTATTTTTATGAATTTTAACACCATAAATTTCACCATTTTAAAATTTTTAAATGCTGATTTTTATATATTTTTTTATATTCAATATTGTACTGTGTAGTTTGGTTAGAACACTGGATCTGGGCTCATCTAATGGGGATGCACTCGTGGCCCAGTGGATGAGTTCTCTGTGGATGAATTTGAATTGTTGGACTTGGGTTAATTTTTTTTTTTTTTTTTTAATTGAATTTAATTGAGCTTGGACTTGGGTTGAGGTGTTAGCACCCGAGCCAACCTGAAACCGACTTCTAATATTATTTATATAGTTTTATTTTAAATAAAGTTTATATAATATTCAAGTTTTGATAATCTTATCTTTTTCTTTTTAACTTCCTTTGTTTAATTTCTAATTTACTGTATGTTAACAATTTGGATAATTAATTTTCTACTAATTCGTTTGTAATTGATTAAAATTTTACAACAAATTTTCAGAATTGTTTATATAAGAGTAATTTAATCTGAAATTAATTTGAAATCACATTAAAAATTCATATGTATTCCTAACTTTTTAACTCGAAATTTCAACTCAAGTTTAAAAATAGAAAGATGAGTTAGGCTAGACCGAGATTAGGTTGAATATTTCTTAAGTTGGGTTGGGCTCAAGTTGTCTTGCCGGAATTGTAGCCCGGTGTGTTTGGTAGGGTTGATTTGGAGGGATAGGGAGAGAAAGAAAAAAGAAAGTATAGGGTGAGAGTGTGTTTGGATGGCTTAAATGGAGAGAAAATAAAGGATAGGGAGGGATAGCCAACTCTCCCCATCCCTCATTTGTTTTCTCTCCTAATTTGAGAAGATAGGGAGAGAAATGATAGTGAAATAAGTGATTAATTCGTAATACCAAAAATACCCTCCACAAATCATTATACAGAAAATGTGTGAAATGGTTATAAAAAGGTGAGACAGTAATTTGGTCACTATCCTTTATTTTCTTTTTTCTCCTCTATTTTATCCAAATAAGAATAACTGTCATTTATTTTCTTTTTCCCCGTCTATCCAAACACGAATAGAAATTATTACTATCTTCTTCTTTTTTTTTTTCCTTTTCTCTCCAAACTAATATTATCCTTTCTTTTCTTTTCTCCCCTATCTATCTAAACACATCCTAAAAAAAGTGAATGCTCAAACTTGTGTCCCCACACCTACAAATGGTTAGATTTGGATTCTCAAAAATAAATATTAGAAACACTCTTATAATCGGTATGAATGAATTTGGTTATGATTTTATTTTTCCCTTTTGGAGAATAGGTTAGAGTTTATAACTTTATATGTTGGCAAAAACCGTTCATTCTTTGTCTTTTTTTTTTTTTAATCTGCCAAAAGTAAAAGGCTATAATTTTTTTTTTTAATTACTAAGAGCATCTCCAATACTAAAATTTATTTTTGCATGCCAAATCTATATTTTGACAGGTGTTATAGTGCCAAAATGCTACATTTTAGCAATTTTGTTCTAATGGTACATTTAACGCAAAATGTTATTTTTTAACACAACCACTATTCTTTTTTAACTACCATTCCCACCATTCATATTTGCATCAATAATATTAATATTAAGCACATTCCAAGTCAAGTTGTTGACATTAAAATGAAACTAAAATTAAACCTAATTAAAAAGAAGTACAAATCTAAAATATCTGGTCAAAAAAGGACAAAAAAAAAAAAAAAAAAACAAATTTTTTATAATTTTTTTACCACTATTAGTGAATTAATTTTTTTATATAATTTTTTTTTTCGGAAATTTATATATATTATTTATATAATATACATATAGAGATGCGAGTGGGTAATTACTGGTGAGAAACGACACCATTTTGAAAAATGAGAGATTTGCCAAAAAAATTTGGCAGCTGCTATATATGAGAAAAAATTTGAGAATCTCAAATTTTAAGAGCTTAAATAAGAGCCCATTGGAGAGGTCCATTTTTACCCAACTCTCATATTTTGAATTTGAAATGCCCAAATGAGAGAACATTGAAATTGCTCTAACGTACTGCTACTACCATTATTGGACAAAAATCTATCACATAGAATAAGAGTGGTAATGCGACACTCATTTTAAGAAATTGTATGACTTAGATTAATGGAAGTGGAATTTGGAAAACAAAATACTAATGATTGACTATTAGATATAAGTGCCCTTTGGTTATCAGCCAAACAACAAGCACCAGTGGTCTAGTGGTAGAATAGTACCCTGCCACGGTACAGACCCGGGTTCGATTCCCGGCTGGTGCATTCACAAGAACAGTGATGAGGTGTATGCGTTCACTGTGAGGATTGGGTTCCTCACAAATCTCCGATTCCGGAAGAAAACTGCGCATCTGAGTTCTTTCTTTTTCCTTTTTTAAATTTTTTTTTTTTTGTCCCTTTGAAAAAGAAATAAGAATAAACTTAGATTAAAATAAATTCTACGGTTATTAGCAAACATTATCAAAGCTATACATTTTTTGAAAATTTATTTTTATGCTATACATTTTTTGAAAATTTATTTTTAAAGTGATTCTTGATAAACATCACCATTCAAAACTTGCACCTGAAACAATTCAACTTAAATATTACTATTCACATATATATATGTATATATATATATATTCTCAAGTGTATAAAATAACATAAGAGTAATTTAATGAATAAAAAAAGTGTCATAACAAGTACTATCATTTTGAATTGAAAAATGATTTTTACACTGAATTTAAACAATGAATTGTTATAATTATTGATCTTAATTGGTTATCTATGTAATAAATGGGGGTAGGCCATTTACTTACTTGTATTTTACATTTATCACTTCTCTTGTGAATTTGTGTCCTCCAACAGTATATCCCTTTATTTTTTAGTAAATAAATCACATGTACTACTCATTTAATATTTATCTCAATTTTAAATGCTATTAGTAGAGAGTAAAAACACTTAAACTCCGAACACTCTAATAATGCTTCTTGTTTGTAGTTACTAGTTTCGCTACATTTACTTTAAAATTTCACCATAAATTTTTACCATTTTGAATTTGGAACAATTTAAATGGTGAACTTCATTATTTTTAATAATTTTCACACCATAACTTTATCATTTTTAAAATTTTAAATGATGAATTTTATTATTTCTATCATTATAGTAATAAAATTCAAAGTTGAAAGTGATGTAACTTGTAACAACGTAAATGTGATGTGTGAATATATATATAGTTTTTTAATCCAAAGTTCTTGCAATAATATTTTAATTTCCATGTTGATTTATATATCCCGGATACGAAATTTTCTTTTAAAGTAAAAGAAAAAAAAAGTTATACCATTGCCATGAGTGTTACTCCAAGTCAAATAATTATTCTCATTTCTCAACGCGTATTGTTCTCAAATTCCGTACAGAATTATTAAAAATCTTACCTGGAAACTTAATTTGTTGTGAATATTGTGACTTTGGTCAAGTTGAAAAAAAAAAAAAAAAATTTGTGTGCTACTACCATTAATATCAGGTTAAAACTTTTTATCCAAGCCCTATTAACAAAAAAACAAAAATAATTATTCAAACCTATTCAATAATCGTGTTGGGTTTAAATTAGGTTGACCTTTGATTACTAGATTCCGAGTTAGCACATTAAATCCTTGTTCATTTGCAAAACAAGCAACACTGGTCGAGTGATAGATTATTACCTTAACCCGGTGCAGGACCGAGTTCGATTCCTGGCTGGTGTATTTGAAGAGCCGTGAAGATAAATCTGCGTTCCATGTGATGATTGGGTTTGTCACAACCTTCCGATTCGTGAAGAAAGCTGCGCATCTGAGCTCTTCGTTTTTTTATTTTTTTAATTTTTTTTTATATTATTATATATATACAAACTCGTAACTATATACATTTTAATATATATCTCTTTATTTTTCAATAGATAAATCACATATAGACTAGTGACTAGTCAATTAATATTTATCTCAATCCTTAATATTATGGGTAGAGTAAAAACACTCAAACTCGATCCAAATCCTCTGGATAACTTTTTCGTGCTGTTTGTAGGTTCATCACATTTACTTTAAAATTTCGTCACCATAAATTGTACCATTTTGAATTTGAACGATTTAATGGTGAATTTCATTATTTTTATGAATTTTCACACCATAAATGTCACCCTTTTAAAAATTTTAAGGTTCCGTTTATTGGACGTAAAATATTTTTTAGAAAATATTTTTTTTATTTTCTGATATTTGGTTGTCGTAAAATATTTACGAAGAATAAAATATATTAAAATTTAATAAAAATAACTTATCCATCAATTTTTAGCAAGTTATTTTACATAATGTGTTTGATGGATTCGACTTCAACCTCTAGACCTTTGTCAAAACAAAATAAAAATAAAAACATATTTCACATTTATTTCAAAAAGAATATTTTGTGTCGAAACAAACGGAACCTAAATGCTGAATTTTATTATTTTTATAGTCCAAAAAAACAAGTGAAAATTTACTCTTAGTAATGAAATCCAACGTTGACAGTGCTTATTGGGTTCTTTATTCAAATTTAAGACGCAAGAATAGGTTAAACGTGAAAGTGAAAAATGAACACATGAATGCAGAGACAAAATATTTCTTGTAAATCTCCTTGGTTGGCCTAGTGGAAAAGGCTTGGGACTTGGAGTCTTATTAAGTTTCAGGCTTCAAGTTCGATTTTCATTAGGTGCCAGTAATTTTTTGGAGTCACGACCGAAGACATAATTCGAGTTTTAACCGGTGAATCGAGGTATCCGAAAAAACAAAAAAAATTCCTTGTATCCACTGCCACCAACTCCACCACACACACATCAGTGATCCGTCTAAGAGGGGGCAGTGCCGGTTGATCAAAAACTCAACAACATTTGCAATATATATATATATATATAAAGTCATCAATTGACCAAATACATAAACAAAAGAATCAGACAACAAACAAAGATTTCGTGCAAGAAAAACCAAAATCAAGAAGAAATATCGCGAATAAAAGTGTTGCACGCAGTAGAGTACAATCACTAGTTCGTACGTACGATCATGTTACACACGAGTCATTGTGATAGTCCAATATTGTACAATACATTGTAGTTTAGTTATTTCACTGGTTCTGGGCTCATCTAATGGAGATGCCCAGTGGATGAGTTCCCCGTCCTTTGAGGAGCCCAATCGCCATTCCCCCTTCCCTTCTGACTCCTAACCCCACTAACATTGTCAGGCCCGGAGAAGATTTCCTTTTTTACCGTAGCAAGAAAGTTGCACACCTTTCTTTTCTTTCCTATATTTTTAAATTTTTTATTATTGTCTCTAAGAAATATTGAACTCTCGACCTTTTTCATTATAATGTATAGGAAATATGACTAAATTAAGGGCTTTGATTTAAAGAGGATTAGATTGTTGTTTAAATAATAAAAATAAAAATAAAACATTTGTATGAGTAGTAGTCAAAAAATTGCAATGAGTAAAAATATGTTAGGTGTTTGGTGATATATTATAATAAATACTTTTTTATAATTAAATTATTTTAAATTCATTTTGTAATAATATTTTAAAAACATTTTTATTATGGCAATCTTGTGAATGTAATATCATGTAACAGGATGTTACCATATTTGATAATAGCAACTTTAGTAAGGAATGAACATAATTATTTTTATAAAAAATAAAAAGGACATAATTGACTAATGAAAAATAAATTTCACTGTTTGAACCAGCGGGAAGTGTGCCGATGAGGACGTCGGGCCTCCTAGGGGGGTGGATTGTGGTAATCTTGTGGGCGAGTGTGCCTTGGGCGAGTGCAAGAGATATTGACAGACTATTATAGTAAGCGAGCTACAGGTGCATAGTTCACATTACCTGGATAAGAAAAATGTGAAGTGCTTATATGTGATGGTGTTATTTTCAAATGGTATGAGGCCTTTAGGGGTAAAGTTCAAGAGTAAAATCGTGCAGGCTTAGGACCAAAAACGACAATATCATAACATGTGGTGGAGTAGGTCGTTACAGGTAACCTCGTAGTAGGTGTGCAACTTGGGTTGGGTAACCCGAACCAAACCAGAGCATAGCCTGATTTTTCTTGGGCTTGATCAATTATTTTTACAATTAGAGTTGGACTTGGGTTAAAAAAACCTCAACCCGAACTTAATTAGGGTTGTACATGGGTTGAGGTGCTAGCAATGCGAGCCAACCCTAACCCGACTTCTAATATTATTTTTATATATATATATATTTTAAATACATTTTATATAATATTCAAATTATGATAACCTTTTACCTTTTTAACTTTGTTTAAATATTTACTAAACGTTAACCATTTGGAGAATTAATTTTCTAATTATTTGTTTATATTTTATTAAAATTTTGTATTTTTTTTCAATTATTTGCTTTTAGGAGTAATTTAATATGAAATTAACTCAAATTCACATTAAAAATTAATCATATAAACCGAATTAACTAGACTTTTTAACAAAGGTAGGATATGTCATTTCGATTCCATAAGTCTAAATCATGTTTTTAGGTTAAGCGCAGACCCTAATGCTTGGACACTCTCACCAATCTCACGTACAAGTCATTCTTGCACTCTCCGATGTTCACTACACCCTTAAAAGAATTTTAACACCATATGTGTCGTGGAACAATGTAGTATGACACCCATATTATGAAGATTGTTCATTTGTTATTTTCATGTATACAAAATGTATTAGGTACGCTCATGGTCTTTCTTTTGTAACCTATTCTTTTGAATGACCAAGTGTGACCTAGAAATGTTGGACCGTTCAATTGCACCAAGTCTTGACAGCCCACACCAGGCGGGCCTTCACTTATACATTCTCCATTTCGGTCTTGACCCTGTTTCCAAATTCGAGACAGCCTATTGAACCTCTGACTTTCTATTGCCACACTTCGCTAGGGCTTCCATTTAGTCCTTTCCACTTTAGGTCCCGAACCCTGTCTCCAAATGAGAGACAGCCCGTCGGATCTTTGCTCGGACCAAATAAGGTCTCACAACTCGTCACAAGTATGATAAAAGATGTATAAACATCAAACAATGGCTATTACAAATTATTATAATGTAAATATTGTTTAAAGTATAAAACAATACAAAGTACTAAACAATTTTTGCAGTTTGTGTACTCAAAATGGAATGCAACTTCAATACAAACCCGGTACAAGGTCTTATTTGACCAACTAACCCGATTAGGAATGGTAGTCGTGTGAAACAACCGACTCGGTTAGGAACAGCAGGCGTGCGGGACTGACCGAGACAAGTCCCACACGACTGCTGACAAAACATATGCCACCGTTAGCATCTGCTTTGGCTGGCCACCGAGGGCCTTGCTTAAAAAAACAAAAAATGCAACCAATCAATCCTTCTCTATATTTACATTTTGTTTGTATAAATAAAAAAGGTCAGCTAAATTTTGGCCGCTTAGGAATTTGTTTTAAAATATAGTTCGTTCATGTATGTGTGTGTGTGTATATATATATATATATGGCCACTTACGAATTTGTTTGAAGTATAAAAATAGTGACTTCTTGGCCGGTTTTGGATTCTCAAACGGCTGAGAGATGTCAGAATTTTAAAAATAAATATTTCTTATGGACACCCCCAAAAAAAAAAGAAAAGAAGAAGAAGACAAAGAATGAACTATTCTTGCAAAGTAAAAGGCTAGAATTTTCTTTTTAATTAATAACAAATACTGTGATTTTAGGAGCTCCTTTAATCCTTGAATGGAGGTTTGATATTTTTAATTTGGCTTTTCATCACCCTTAAGTTGCAAGTGAGATCTTTTTTGTTTTTAATTTGTTGTCAATGCTGTGATTATGGAAAAAAAACTTTGTGTTTGTTGAACCATACAACACGCACATTTAATCATTTATTATCGACGTGTATAACATATACGATTACATATATTACACGAACGGTCTGAATGCATTCGTTGCACGGTGCAACAGAAACAAATAAACTTTTCTCGTAATTTTAGTCTATGAAAAAATTGGACCGAAGAATTGACGGGATTGAGGAGCGGAAGTGTGTGAAGGACACCCATCTAAAAATGAAATTGTACAGTACGTAGTATGACTTAGGTTAATCGAAGCCCAATATTTCAAACTTATTCAGCAATGGTGTTCAGTTTAACTATTTTAAATTATACTTCTTCATATTTGTTATATTTAACCCAGCAACAAGCACCAGTGGTCTAGTGGTAGAATAGTACCCTGCCACGGTACAGACCCGGGTTCGATTCCCGGCTGGTGCATTCACAAGAACAGTGATGAGATATTTGCGTTCAATGTGATGATTGGGTTCTTCACAAACTTCCGATTCCGGAAGAAAACTGCGCATCTGAGTTCTTTTTTTTTTATTTCTTTTTTTTAAAAAAGAAATAAAGAATAAACTTTAGATTAAAATAAATCACGTCTCCAAAAAAGAAATAAAAAAAAAACTTTAGATTAAAATAAATCACGTCTCCAACTAATTTAATATTTATCTCAACTCTAAGTGTATTGGTAGAAAGTAAAAACACTTAAACTTAGAACACATAATCCCTCCAATAACTATTTATCATTGTTTGTAATTTCAACACCATAAACTTTTACCATTTAGAATTTGAACAATTTAAATGGTGCACTTCATTATTTTTATGAATTTTCACACCATCAAGTTCATCATTTTTAAAATTTTAAATGATGAATATAATCAAACTCTGTGCTTATTGGGTTCTTTAAGAGACGAGAGTTGGGTGAAATTTACCTTGTCAAGGCTTGAGTAGAAGAATTGCACACATCAATGCATTGACAAAACACATTCCTCGTACCCACTGCCACCAACTCCACCACACACACAGTCACACACATCTGAGTCTTCTGAGAGTAGGCAGTTTTGTTGATCAAAACTCACCCACTTTGTAATATATATATATATATAGAAAGTCATCAATTAACCAAATACATAAACAATAGAATCAGACAACAAACAAGGATTTCGTGCAAGAAAAAGCAGAATCAAGAACAAAAACCTTCAAATGTTTGGTTTATTAAAATACCAATATTATGTACTATTCCATTAGAGAGGAGAATATTTCCTCTTTTTTCTTTATTTTTACAATGACAAGAAAATCACACACTTATTATTATCATTTTTTGGGGGTCTCTAACGGAATCACAATTTATTTTTGTTCTTCATTATTATTATTATTATTATTATTATTATTATTATTTTTTGGTCTCTAGGGAAATGTAAGCTCTCGACCTTTTATTTTAGAAGATAAAGAAAATATTACTAGATTACAGCTTTAGAAAAGAAGAAAATACTGCAATTTTGCAGTAAAATAGACAAACTCATTTCTTTTGCCCAATTCGATTCCAAAATAGTGTCATTTGTACAAAGTGAATGCTCAAATTCATGTCATCACAATTACAAATCCAAGTAAAAAAAAAAAAAATACTCCTCTTATAAAAAAAGAAGAAGCAAATTTACTTTAAAACGTGTTGATTGAATTAATAATTCAACTATATATAACTTTTTTATATCAAGAGTTTCTCCACTAAAGATGTGTTCATTTGTATGGAATTGGAACTTTAAAATTAGTGAAATTTGAAAAAAAAATTGTTCAATTTTATTAGTTGGTTTTCTCAAATTCTAATTCCAAGACTCCAATTCTATGCAACCGAACACACCCTATTGTAAAGGACTTGTAAATCTTATCATATGGTACCAAAAAAGGATCATAATTCAAGATGAATTCTACCTACTAAAAAAAAAAAAAGTCCCATTTACTAAAACAAAAATAGAGCATGTCATTCTGATTTAATAAGTCTTAACCATGTTCTTAGGGAACTAATAAGCTTTCAAATTTGTTTTACATTGATCACCTAATGCAGAGGGTTAAGAAAACTTCTTTCTTTTTTTTTTCTTTCTTTTTGTAAAATTGACACATTTACTTGGATGCTAGGTTGTGATTGATTAGCATCGTATAAGACAACTCTCTAATGTGTGTTGTCACTCGTCTCTCCCCCCACCCCAAAAAAAAAAAAAATTTAAACCTATATAATGAAATCAACAGATCGAATCATCAAGGGCTGGACAATCATGACAGTTAACAACCCAACACCAATCCTATCTTCCCTCTTACCTATAAAATTACTCTATCCTTCAGTGCATGCCTCAATCCACGCACAACACATATAGAGAGAAAACACTCTGTTCTTGAGTGCAGGCCTCAAGCCACACACACAAATAGAAACACACACATACACAAAGATGGTGAACTTAGTAGCAGCACAGAAGCCATTAATGCATGTACTGATGAAGATGGCTGGGGTCACACCCCACACAGTAGAAATCAATCCAGGCACAGTCATGAACATTTGGGTCCCCAATGAAACCATAAAAAAAACCCCAAAAAGCAAAGACGACACCACAACTACCACCACCACCACCACCAAACCAAACAAACCTGTCGTTGTTCTCATCCATGGCTTTGCAGCCGAAGGCATTGTGACATGGCAGTTCCAGGTCGGCTCCCTGACCAAAAACTACGCCGTCTACGTGCCCGACCTCCTCTTTTTCGGAGGTTCAATCACCGACAGCCTGGACCGGTCACCAGCTTTCCAGGCCGAGTGCTTAATGAAGGGACTGAGGAAGCTGGGGGTTGAGAGGTGTACTTTGGTCGGGTTCAGCTATGGTGGAATGGTGGCTTTCAAGATGGCTGAGTTGTATCCGGACTTGGTTCGATCCCTTGTGGTGTCTGGTTCGATTTTGGCCATGACTGACTCGATCAGCAGTGAGACTCTTCATGGTCTCGGGTTCTCCTCTTCTTCAGAGCTGTTGTTGCCCAACTCCGTGAAGGGTCTCAAGGCACTTCTCTCTGTTGCTGCTCACAAAAAGCTCTGGTTCCCCGATCGGCTTCACAAGGATTTTCTCGAGGTTTGTTAACCATTATATGAGCCTCTCTCTTTCCATGATTTTCAAGTTTCAGATACTGTAGCTAGGTTTCCTTAGTATAAAGGTAAAATTAAAGTTGCTCTATTGTGACTTGAAAGTCATTCAAAAACATTAAAACAGCTTTTCCGTAAGCCAAGCTAAGACTACGAACATCTAACTATTCCCGGGCATTTAGCAATAGCTAGGTTTCCCAAACCCAGCTTAAAAATTAGCAGATTTCTATATTAACGAGGCCATTTTCATTTATCTAAGGAATAACTTGAGCGACTTTTCAATCCTAAAGTTGAGCTTGGATCAAACTACGTTGTTTCAAATGATAATGATCAAGTTTGACTCATTTATCTCACAAGTGGATCTTAAGCAAGCCTATGATCAAGCCAATCACCTTCAAATTAAGTATGTAGGTCACCTTGTCTTATGGTCCTATTTAATCTCCACTTATAAACTTACATATATAATATGTGCGCGCGCGTATTGATAGCCTGGACAGCTGGACCAAATTGGTACCACCACTTAAAATAAACAATGTGTACTTTAATTTGTGTGGCAACTAAACCTAACTAAATCTAACTAAACCTAACTAAATCTGACTACTATCTATGTCAAAAAGCAATCAGATTTGGACCTGACCAAAAGTGGTTCGCAAGTTGCATCTGCAACTTTGATGCCACCTAACACTACAGCATTTATTGTCTAAGTCACCTAGGAATAGGAGGAAGATCCTTTTAAAAATGTAGGATCAGAGTGTTAATGGAGAGCTATTCTTGTTACAAAGCCCTTGTGACAAAATGCATTACCAACATTGCCGAATCCAGATTCTCTCCTGTCCACAGCACGGTGCCAGGCACAGAAGATGGTGGAGATCACCTCATATGAGGTAGGTTCCACGCTGTCTGTGGGGACCACACCCCATATGGGGTGATCTACATCCTTCCCCTATGCACAGCACCATGTTGTGCACATGCTAATAACCTCTCTCTTGGAGTAGTCTATTAGACAAGAAAGAGAAAAGTAAAATGTATACACTTAAAAACAGGACAGTATAACCATAACTCTTCACCATCATCACCAAATTTTTCTCCGACAATATCAGACCAAAACTTCAAGAGCTGATCTGATATCAACTACTAATGGCAGGTAATGTTCAACAACAGAAAGGAGAGGGGTGAACTACTAGAAGGTTTGATAGTTACCAACAAAGATCCCACCATCCCAAATTTTCAACAGGTAATCAGCATTTTGTATAAGAAGCAAGACAACCTAATATCCTCTGTTAAGTTTCTTTTTCGTCAACCTTCTCAACAAAATGATCTACAAAATGATTTACCTTTGCTCAACTTCTTGATGTGCTTTTCGTATAGAGAATACACCTTCTATGGGGGGAGAATGATCAGATTTTCAAGATGGAGCTTGCCCAAAATATGAAAGAGTAAGTCTACTGAGACATTCAAGCCATAGGCCATGTTTTTCATCTATTGATCATCAAATAAAATTGCTCACTTGTTATACTTAAACACCAAAATGGTCCCGAAGTGGGTAGTGTTGAAATTCATGGTAATTTATAATGAAAGATTTACTTGATGCAATGACAGGCAACTAGGAGATGAAACAACACTCCAAGGCATAGAGAAAGCAGGTCACCTGGTTCAACTCGAACGTCCCTGTGTCTACAACAGATGTCTCAAGCAGTTCCTTGCTTCCCTGCACACAGATGAACCCCAAAAGTAGCAAATTCATCCTACATTTTTCATTATTTACGCACATTATCTGTAGCATTGTTTGGAATTAGTAGAAACATAGGGGTTTATTATTTATGGTTAAAAGTTGCTCGTGTCTTGTATGGAGGTGAAAATATTGTGAAGATGAACTGAATGGATCACCTTTTATTTTCTTTACATTCCTTTTTACTTGCATTTACAACATAAAGCAACCTTGAATATCACAAATGTGGGTTGACATGGGAGCAACTACACCTGCACAATGCTGGCAAATGATATTTACTTGAAAGCTAGATAGTGATATATATGTTATTCAACAACGTCATCTGAAGGACCACTGGATTTCCTCTAGAGTTCTTCCTTTGGTTTCAGGGACCCATAGTGTCACAAATACAATAGTAAAGGCTGTAACTACGGTGTAAATGGTGAAGGTCCCTGTTAGAGAAGTACCATTAAGTCAGTATAACTTAATCACATAATCATTCGCGTGCACACACAAATAAAGGACGGAGAGAGTGAAAGAGAGAACCTCCACTGCTCCAGTGCAAAAGTAAGTTCGCTGTCATTGTAACAATCCATGATGTTAGCCAATTTACCAATGTTGCTGTGCTGCCAGCAAGGCTTTTGATATCGACCGGAAGTATCTGAGATGACCAACTCAAAATGTAAGAGCAGTAGAAGAAAGTAGTGTTTCATGCCAACTATTTCAATGAAATAGAGAAGTGAATTGACACTAAGACAATCCTGCACTCGATGAAATCTAGAGGTTCAAGTTATATGGAAAACCATTCAAGTAAGCATACGTATAAAATCAGTCTGATGTATATATTTGAGCAAGTAATTCAAATGTTCCTTTCTGAGTCACAAAAGATTTTCAAGACGCTGGCGAGTAAATGGTCAGATGGAGGCTATAGGAAGCGAACGGGAAAAAGGTACACAAAAGAGAAGGGAAAAGAAAGAACATCTATGGTGAATTGACTACCCCAGATGAGGGAACGACTGGTGAAGTGTGGCAGAAGTGAAACCGGGACTTTCAGATCTAATTGTTTGCCATACAAAGCCTCAGGTCTGATGTCCCAGAAACAATTATAAAGGTCTACTTTTGTATGTTAAGTGATAAATTTAATCTTGGCATACCTCAGACATTATAATCCAAGGAATACCTCCCATTCCCAAAGCATAGGCAATCACAAGAGCCTGGGAGAAAATAGTTAATAAACAGGCTCAGTAACATCCTTTATAGCTTAAAGTTGCACCCACAATCACATATAATATATATATATATATATATATATATAGAGAGAGAGAGAGAGAGAGAGAGAGAGAGAGAGATGAAAAGGAAAAGAAGAAATAGAAGATTATATAGAAATAATGCATACCACAAGTCCAACAAGTGACAGTATTCCCAAAATGCCATGAGAACTTTCAGAGACAAAACCCTGCTTTCAGTGAAAAAGAAAAATTAAAATTAAAATGAAGACAACAAACAAAAAAATGTCGAGAGGAGTCCTGATGTAGATGAAGAAATTTAGAAGTCTTGGAGCAGATAGTCAAGAATTTTATATAAATAAATAAAATACTAAAATAGAAAACCTGGACAGACTAAATCATTACGAACCTCTAAATAAAATGCAACTGCAACAAGGAGGAAACTACCAGTCATTATGGATGAAGACACCTGTAAAAAATGATGGTAGATTTAAAATATTGTTTATATTAGCAGATAATGAAATCTCAAGTGACACGTTGGCTCAAACGCACTATAAGAAGAATCCTGCGACCAGCTTTGTCCATCAACCACGTAGTAACTCCAGTGACAATAACCTGCATCAATGAAGGCTCTGATACGTGATCAGAATATTTTGTGCACGAATAATCACATTGTATGTAATGGTTCATATTTACCTGAATAGCCCCGAGTCCAAATGTTGCAGCATTACTAGATGAAACTCCTATACAAATTTGAGAGAGCAAAAGAACCATCAGACTCAAATAGTGAAACAAAAGCCACTTCTTAATTAAAGGAAAGACAGTTTAAAATCCAACATTGATAAACAAAGAGAGGGCGAGCCTTGGCGCAAGGTAAGGTTGAGGTCACAAGTTCGAAACAAGGAAACAGCCTCTCCGCATGCGGAGGTAAGGCTGCGTGCATCTAACCCTCCCCAGACCCCACAATGGCGGGAGCCTTGTGCATTGAGTTTGCCCTTTTTTAATTGATAAACAAAGAGTTCATACATGGAAGGAAAAAGTAAATATGTAATAGGCGAACCATCAAACTCATATATCAAAACATAAGCTATTCATCAAGGAGATCTTGACACTTGATTATGTAATCAATCCAGAAGAATCAATGCATAAACAAGTATAGACGTCATCATATAATGAGCTTTATTAAGACAATCCAAACTTCCAACATAGATAGCAACAAAGTTGAGAATCAAAAGGAGACATCAGAAAAGTTACTTAGTAAGAAGAGAATAGCAGATGATAAAGTGACATCTTACTGCACTAAGAGCTGTTCTGGAAAAAGGCTGAAGGGAGTGGAGTACTATATTACTCTTTTGCAAAATGACAAAGGCAAACTCACTAAAGGTGATGTGGCAGCAACATTCATTAAAAGGTCATAATTTAGTATTTCCTCGAGCTGGGAAGGTGTAGGTATCATAAACACTTACTCAATGTGAATATACGACACTGTCTGAGAAAAGGGGACATTCAGCGTCACATAAAAAAGGAGGTCAATAGTTCCAATCCCAGAATCTAGTATAATGTGGATGGCACATCAAAATTACTTCCCGAGGTTATGTTAAAGACTCAACATCCTAGGCTCAAAGCATATGGCACATAAGGCACACCCCTTGTGCAATGAGACCCATTGTATCTCTTAGATGTGCATCTTAAATGAGGGTGCATTGCTGGAGAAGCCCCGCTAATAAAGAATCTTATCAACCTGACTGAGAAAAATCATGGGCATTGTCCAGCTAATCCAATTCAAAAAATTAGTATAATGTATTGCAAGTTACAGAATCTTCCTCAGGATCATTTCATGTTGAATTCCAACGAGGTATAGTTCTTGCCAGTTCTAGACTCCACTTTTAAATCACCTACAGCTGCTCTCAACATCAATGATATCGTTCTTCACAACTTGCAACTCTCCACAGTTGATAACCTGCTCCTCACAAACTCATCACCGTGGGCAAGCACTCCAGTGGAGTAGATAATATGAGAAGTTGATCGCAGCTGATTCATGTGTTTAAGATTTCAAAACCTCCATCATCATCATCCTTGACTTAATCCCGTATGAACAGGGGCGGCCACATGGATTCTCTTTTTCCACTCTTGTCATCTTAGACCGTTTCACTTATTAGATTTAATTTTAAAAAATCATTTCTTATTACTTCATTTCATATTGATTTTGGTCGACCTCTTTGTCTCTTACCTTCTATATAAATCAATCTTCATTTTCTCACTGGTGCATCTCCTATTTTGTGTTGAATATGTTCATACCACCTAAGTCTACTTTCTACTATTTTCACACTAATTGGTGTCACTCCTAATGTCTCTCCTTTGGTTATTAACCTTATCTCTTCTAGTCACTACTAACATCTATCTTAGCATTCACATTTTTGTCACATGAACAAGTTGTTCTTGTTTCTTTTCTAAGAACCAACACTCTGCTTGATATAAGATAGCCAGTCTAATGACTGTGTCTTTTACCTTAAACCTCTTATAGTAATGGACTGAACAAATCTGAAATCAAAGTTTTATTTAGAATAGATAATTGGCTGGTTGAGTTTTACTTAGAATAGAAAAGCTCGTAAAAATTCAATCTTGAAAAAGCTCGATCAGTCCACTTGGTTCAATTGGTCTTAAGTTTTTGGTCATCCTTGGATTGGCCCACAACTTTGGTTTGATTGATCTGTGACTCTCTTCTCCATCAGCCAAACATAAACTCTATGCATTGAGGAGCTATCGCTTCACAATGCTCTTTACATACCAGGTCTCATTGGATAAACCGACCCTTGCCTCGATCAGCCGAGCAGCAACATGTTCAATTTCAAACTCATTAAAAATTTAAAACATGTTCAATTAATAATCAATTTATTATACGGATCCCCTAGGTCATATGTAGATCCACTATTCCTATTTATCATGGTACATATTTCTCCAAATCCTAATCACTTACCATACTAAAAGTTTGTAATGATACATTTTTAAGAATCCATCGATACTCAGAATTTGTCTTCAATCTATAATCTGATATAATCCTCAAACTATAATCTGAAGAAGAAGAGGAGGAAATTGTTTACTTGGGCAGCAACTTGAGCAGAGATGGCATCAATCTTACTTCTTCACGCCAAAGTATCATCTAACCTAAGACGTATGGCTTGAGCTATGTCCAAGTCAAGCTCAAGGCTTTTAGTATGATTTGAGCGAGAACAAGCCCAAACCTATGAGTGTAGTAATTCTTTCCACTGGTAACAAAGGTATGGAAAATTTTAAGGAAAAATTCCTAGCTTATTAGGAACTTTAACACAAATATTCACAATGTTGAATGCTTTTCCTCACACATGGTCCCTGCTGCTTCAGTTCCATCCATATTTGTGTTTCATTTGGTTTCTTTAGTTCTTTTGTAAGCATGTTATTCTTTTCGGTATTCTAAGTTCCCTTGTTTGTGGGGATGACTTCAAGAAGGTTTTGTTTTCCTCTATCTTTTTGCACACACAGAGACATACATACATGTATGTCCATATACATACACACATTTATTTGTGTATTTTATATAATATTTTGTGAGCTCTTAGATCTTAGTTGCAACAACCTCCAATGTGATAGGAGATGCTGCCATCAAGAACTGTGAGTCTGAACTTCTATTTTTAGAGGTTGTAAGACACATGATTTTCTCGTGAAAAAACCACAATACATTCTCTAGAGAACAGTTTGTAGTCTAGGTAAACAAGAACACAAGGCAATACATTTTCTTAGAAGTTCATTAAAAAGTGCTCAAAAGGAGAGCGCATCTTGACTACCCAAAGGCCAAGAAGGCCACTATAACTTCAGGCTATCTACAAAAACAACAAAATCCTCTGACAATTTACAATTTCTCCCTTGTACCCAAAAGAATAAAGATCTAAGGACAGAGAACTTGAGCGCCCAAATAGGGGCCTCCTCACCATCAAAGGACCTCCTATTTCTTTCTCTCCTTAACCCCACCATAAGCAAAGGTGCGCAACCCTCCAAGCATCTTGAGCTTGACCTCCAACAGAACACCTTCACCAAGCTTCAAGCATGCTCTTCGTGGAACTCGGCATAACCCAATGAATACCAAAAAGAGATAAAATCATGGACAATCCATCCCTCACTAATGGACAATGTAAAAGAAGATAATCAGCTGAATCCACATCCCTTCTACATATACAACATCAATTAACGATGATCTCACACCTCTCTGCCTCAACTTATCAATCGTCAATATCCTCTCCAAAGCTACCGTCCAACCAAAAAGAAGCCACCCTTGGGGGAGCTTTGGTACGCCACACTACCTTCCAAGGAAAGACTAAGCCCCGAAAAATCAGAAGTCTCTAATAAAAGTACCGCACCTCGGATCTCCCACAGCCAGCCGATGTAGCAACTCCAAAAGGCAGTACATTTTAAAGTACCCTAAGAAAGTTCCTACACAGAACCCTTTTTTGTTTAAAGAAAAGTTATCATCAAAATAACTCTTCTCATGCAAAACATTTAACTCCCATATTGATTGTCTAGATTATAGAAATCCTTGTTATAAGAATCCTATTGATGTTTTAATTTAGGCACTTCCCATATACCCTCAGACCTTTACAGCTTTTAAAAGTTTCAGCTTCCACTCATTCTGGCTCTATCTTTTTCGAAGTCCCCAATTTCAACATGTTGTTACATTCATATTTATATATGTAATAGATCTTACTTTGACTTAAACATAAAATGAGCACAAAGGAAGAGCTGAAACAAAAACTGTAATATCAGTTTAGTTTCACCCGAGAGATCTACCATGGTGTCAGTATTTGCAACTAATCACTTCTTTTGGCTAAATGGGCGGAATTGTAAATCTGTGGTGGATTTTGTCGATAGCTTGAAATTACAGTTGGCCGTCAGAGCTTTTTGAGTTTTTTCTTGGGAGCACTCCCCTCTTGAGTGCCTTTAATGAAAAAAATAAAAGAAGCACCTTAGCATGATCTCTATTGACTTTCAATTCGTTCCCTATAGGAAGAACAACTGACAGACAAGAAAGTGAATTTTCAATTCTCGCAAACTTACACCAAATATCAGTTTTTAACAACTAAGGATTAGGTTCTACAATGTACCCTATTTGCAAATGAAATTTATCTAATTGATAAAACTAAAAAAGGGATAAGGCTAAATTAGAGATATGGAGTCAGTTTTATATCAATTGGGTTAAAGACAAAAGAACTATAGCTGAATATATAGAATCTAATTCTAGTAAAACTAGAAATCTATGCAAGGGATATAGTGAATATTGAGGGTAAAAGATACCAAAAGGAAAACAATTTTGTTATGTAGAATTAAAAACAAGATGGGTGAAATGAATACTTCTGGCATATTGTATGATCAATATATATACTGTTATGACAAACGAAACGAATCCAAGTTCAACCAAGAATCACGACAGAAAATTAAAAACGCCACACAAAGAACACAGATTTATACGTGGCTCGGCAACAGCCTATGTCCACGGTTGGGATCTGGCGAAAGTTTTCACTATATGTAAAATCGGAGATTACAAGTTTTCAGCCCCTCACTCTGTTTCTGTATGAATTTCAAAGTCTCTCTCTTACACCACTCCAAATCCTAAGCGCCCTTATATATTGGGCTACAAGAGACTAATTAGGGTCCACGACCCATGAGCAAAAAACGGGTCAAAATGATTGGGCCCACACAAAGCTCATCCAACGGGTGGTCGGACCCAGCACCAAATTCGGGCCACAATATCACAAAAGTCTATAAATATAATTGTTTCAGTACTTATACGGTTATACCAAGACGAAAGGGCAATGTGAGGTCTATAAATATAAGTGTTTCGGTATAAATAACAAAAGGGCCATGTGAATTAGCGGATGGGGCACTTGGCTTTTGAGAGTTGTAATGGTTAGAATCTCTCCAGCACATTTCATTTTGTTTAAGAATAATAATAATTTGTTGTACCACAGATCCGGCAAAAACGGTTGGTTCGATGGAATGGGCCAATTCGGTTGTGAATTAAGGGCCTCACTGATATACCGGTGAGACTTGGTATCGGGACCCAAAAATTCGCTGCGAACCGGCGAGTTCGCTGAACCATGATAATGAGATAGAATAGTGTTAACTTGATAATTACACCAAAGAGTAGTGTTAACTTGATACCTAATTTACAATAATGTTATATGAAATAACAAAAGACATCCAAGAAGACATTTCATTGTACATGTTATTTGCAGATGATATAATTTTATTAGATACCTCTAAAGAAGCCTTAGCAACAAAATTAGGGGTGGACAAAATGAAGGCAAGCTAGTTGTATCCTATGCAACAAACATATATCAAATACATTAAAAGAAAATTCTTTAGGGCGAATATTAAGCCAGGTATATTGTATGGCCCAAAGTCTTGGGTATTGAAAAAGAAGCAAGAGCAAATGAGAATGCTACAATGGATGAAAGGAGGAACTAGATGAGATGAGATAAATAATGAGCGTGTGAGGAGAAACTAGGAATGGTGCCTGCTAATGATAAAATTCGACAAGTAGATTTAGGCAGTATTGTTGTATACAACGTAGACCCGAAAATGCTCCAGTTAGAAGAAAAAGAGTTCTTTTCCTATAATTAAGAGACCGGGGCCAACCAAAATTTACATGGGATGAAGTAATTAAAAATGACTTAAAAAATTACATCTAAGAGGAGACATGGACATGCGTGTAGAATATGTGTCATGTACACGTATCTAAATTGAACACCTAGATCCAATTATGATGACTGAAGAAGAAGATTTACTCCAATTTAATATCCTAGAAGAGTTCCCTACTTATGAAAGGGCTAGAGGCTCCCGCCAATGCAAGGTCTGGGAAGGGTCAGATGTATACAGCCTTACCCCCGCATGGGAGAGGCTGTTTCTGTGATTCGAACCCGTGACCTCCGGTTTCCTACTTATGAGATAGGTGGAATCTCTATTTAACCATATTCCATTAAGTTTCATTTAATTTAAATTATTATTGGGTATTTTAAAAATAATAGTATGCTTCCTCATTTATGCAGTGCATTATGTTTTTAAGTATGCTAAACGTGTCGTCGTACCCGTATCCAAATTTTGGACACATTTGAAGCCGAGTACCCATAACCTAAAATTCGTGACTAGGGATGTCCGACACTTGACAATTACTCACATCTGATAGTCCCCATATCCTATGCAGATGTTGTGTGGAACAGCACATCTAGTTTTCGCAATAGTCTAATTCTTAAATCCTGGGACATGAGGGTACAGATGATGAAGTTTCAAAATTTTCTTCTTCCGCGCCTTGCAGTGATATAACTATCCAAATGACTTGGATCATGTGAAAAAAAAGAAAAGCAAAGTATTCTGCGGAACACCGACTGAACTATTGAGTGTGTTCACCTGTTGATTTGTAGTATGTTAACACACGATGTACATGTCTTGCACAACATGTCCTCCATAACACATATCTATGATATCAATCTTATGCAAGATCAGACATGGAAATTAGACATTTCAAAATAATCATGTAACAAAAGAAGAAAACCAAAGCTTCAATGAATGCTAAAAATGAAATTTGAAGTGAAAAGAGTGCTTCTACCAGCAGATTCAAAAATGTTGCTGGAATAGAATAAAACAGCATTGATACCACTGAGTTGTTGGAGGAAGAGTAATCCAATTCCTACCTGCAGAATATATATTATTGGCACAACACTGATAAAAAAGAAAAAGAAGTTCTGGTGTTCTTGAACTTTCAAGGACATTTAAACTTAAATTGAAGAAATGAAAACCAGAATTTCAAACAAAGAATTGTACCATCAAGGGATACCAATATCTTTTTCTCTTAAGATCAGAAAACCGAATGGTAGCTTTTTTTCTTGCTGATGCCACAGATCTCTGCAGAAAGTGCATTTATAGGAAGTCATGGTAACAAAATGAAGAGTCTAAAGAGACAAATGACATCTGGAATTTCAGCATTCAGAAATGGTTGGTAACTCAGTTGAGAAAATGAAAACTGTTGGGAAGAATATGGTTGAATTGCAATAAATACACTGGTAACATTTTAAATCAATACCTTGATCTCATTCACTTCAGTGGAAATGTCCGTATCATATCCCCTTAAAAGTTGCAAAGAGGCTTCAAAATCTTCTGTCATTCCCATTTTAGCCTAGAGACATCATTATAAATGATGAAAAAATTTCGGCATAAAAAAGAACTAATCAAACCCCATATGATATTAAGCTATGACTTACCAACCAACGAGGAGATTCTGGTATGAAAAATAGACCAGGTATCAACACTGTGCACGGCAAAATTCCTGCAAATGGGGTGTATCAGTCCCATGTTTCTGACTATCAATTTACCCATTAAATATGTTATGTTCAATCAATTCGGTGCTACATAACACGATAAACAATCTATTACATCAAAGAACCTTATGGTCAAAAAACAAGTAACAACTGTATAGGCCCAATATATCCTTAAGGAATGTACTACTTCGTCAGCAAAGCTTAGGTTAATTGATCAAACGTGGAAGGCATTTTAATCCTAAAGAAAAATCAACCAAAGACTCATTACTGTCAGTCTGTCATCATCCTTGCTTTGATCCTGATTGAATCCGGTCGACCACAGATCTTTCCTTCCACTCTTTTATATTACAATAATATGCAATTAAATTTAGCTCACATCACATGTGACTTATATCGTTAGTAGGTTTGCTGCATGATCCACGGAGTCAAGACATAGACCAAATTAGTGTATTATGGATCTTCATGTAAGACAAAATTAATGCAGCTAAGAAAAGAGAAATTACCTTCTTGACCTAATTAATGCAACTAAGACAATTAATGCAGCTAAGTATTTCATTAGAAAACACATTGTCAAATGCTTCACATCTTGGGGTTGGTTGTCAAAGTAGGCCACCTCAAAGCATATTTGGTAAAATAAAAATAAACTCAATTTTAAACATAGGTTATACATGAATCCATGGAACATGAAAAATCTGCATATCCTTCACAATAACTGTATAAAATTTCCCAAACCGACAAACTTAGAATAAGCCTCCCTGACTAAGTAGGACAACTATATTCAGATAGTTTAAACAGAAATGTAATCCAGTATAATTTCTTGCTAGGTAGTGCAGTTCAAATCACAACATGGCCAACAGATCCAAGAGATTTTTGTTCATTGTGTTTCTCCAATTTGAGTTTTGCTCACATCCCGAATGAATTCAAGAACATATTCGAAGAAATTCTGACCACTATTCTTATACGATATCTTATAAAAATCATAATTAGATTATAGATTAGAAGTTCATTCCATACCGGACCAGACCGGAATAGGGGTTCACATACCCAATGAATTGGAGGCAACTATAGCTTCTAACATTCACCAGGAGCTATAATAACATTCATTTCAATGAGCACAAGCAGCGTAACAAGGGTTCATACTTTGTCTCTTCTTACCAACTACTACATGTTGACCCTAACCGTCCCACAATGGAAGGAAAAAGAAGTGAAAAAAAGGCTTGCAAACTTATGAGTCAAATATGATGGATTCTCAGTATCGTGAAAATAACATTTAGTTTGATGGCTTAATTAAGAAAAACTATAAAGATGCTTATTGACTGTGAAAGATTATAATGGTGAGCCCATAATAACTGATCATATTGGTGGGTAAATGCAGCAGCATAAAAATATGTAGAATGTATTATACTTCTCCCGAGAGCAATTATATGACTAATTTAAGAAGAGGTAAAATCTTGGTGCAATGGCAAAATGGGGATGTCAAGCGCGAGAACACAAGTTTAAATCTTCAATCCTGAGAAGAGTCACTTTGAGATATAATGCCATGGTACATGGAAAATATAGGCAAATCTTTGGCAAGTGCAAAGCCATGGTCAATGAAGTGAATTTGACTGCTTCATTCAATTGAAATTTGCTCCAATGCTTTAGCCAAACAGGGCCATGACATCAGAGAAGGAGTGTGTGGGAATTCCGTAACCAGAAAAAAAATTAAGCATGTGCTAGTTGATTTGCATAATTGCTCACCGCCAAGAGAGTGTCAAACATAATGTCTTTAATGGACCACAAAGAAAAGGAAGGGATTGGACAATAGCTTGACTAGAAGACAATATCATTCAAGGTCTCAAAAATAAGTACTTGTCTGTTTTACACATAAATAAATAAATAAAAGTTTTTGTTCAAATATCAAATAAATAAATTAAGAGAAGATGCAAGGTTTTACTTACTTTTAATATATAATATCATTCTTGTGGTAGGGTCTCATGTTTACTTTCAAAAATTTAGTTCCAAAATCAAAATATTATTTCTAGAATAAGAGTGAGACTAGTCCAATAATTGTACCTATATCAAGCCAACCCCATTAGGATCTCATTCCATTAACAAATTAACAATTAAGAAGTATCATTATAAATATAAAAAAAATAGAGCAACTTGTTTTTTCCTTACAGGTCAATGAAGTGAAATATTACGAATTATTTCATCATCATTTGCCATATAACCAATAAAGCATGCATGAAAGAACACATATGTCGTGACATAAACCATAGAGCCGCTCAAAATGTTTGGAGATTTTTGCTGCTCTAATAACATTGGACAGTCCCCTTTACACTGAAAATTTTATCAAAACATGATACATGGCTTACCTAAAACAGCTAGCACTCTCCAGTTAAGGAAAATCCCCAGCAAATACGCTAGCATTAATCCAATCATAACCGCTAGCTACATGAGGGAAAAGATAATGGTTGTAGCAATTTGATTTAAACATTCAATCAGGATCTTAACTAAAGCATGTCTCTGGATTTGGAAAAAATACACACAACTAACCTGGTTGACGGATCCAAGGCTGCCTCTCATGTTTTGAGGTGCTATCTCAGCTATATATACAGGCACCTGAGTACAACCACCACCAACACTATCATTGATGTTCTTATCACAATTCAAAATGGGATGATCAAAGAACCTTCACAATTAAAGCTCACCGTGTAAGAAATTATGCCCACACCAAACCCTTCCAACAGCCTTCCCATACAGAGAAATGCCGAATCCTAAACAAAAGAACCCACGTTTATCTATTTACCTTATAAGAAGCTTTCAAGTGACATGTTACTAAAAACGAACCCGGATCCTCTCCTATGTTGCATCCCGTGCCATTACATTTCTTAAGAAACAACTCACATCACTTATGCAACAATTTTACCAACAATAACAACTTTTTTATGTATCCGTTGCACTACAATGTAGTGTGTTGCACTAACAATCTACATGAAGCACAGGACCAAGGCACATGATTGACTCCACACGAGGGGATCCAGACTCACTAAAGAACACTAATCAAATAAAAAAATTCCTGGTAGTTGCTTACTTTAGCAAATGAAATGATGAGCCAGCCTATTATGTTAGGGATTGAAGCAATCATTAAGGACTGCAATTCAACAAAACAAATACATTCTATCACAAATAGCAATTAGCAATGCAGAAACTATAGAACAAAAATCCAAGGAATTGAATCGATCATTCATTCGTGTCTTAATCATACCCCTTTTCGCCCAATGTGCTCTGCAATCTGCCCACTGGCAATTGCACCAACCATCGCGCCCACATTCATTAAAGATCCAAATATCGAGAACTGTCCGCACAAACTTGCATTAAAAATCAACATTAAAACCTACCTCTACATATTTATACACACATATAACACATAAATAAAAGCTGTTGAACCTCTTTGATGGAAAGTCCAAGATCTTTGATGATTCCAGATTGCGTAGGAGACGAATAACCACACTGCAAAAAAATTATATACATTTATAGAGCTACATAAATACATAAATGTGTGTGGGATAGAGAAATGGGTTGATTACAGTGAAGCTTCACTGATATATATATATATATATATATATATATATATATATATTGCTGCATAAATACATAAATGTGTGTGCATATATAAATATATAGAGAGGAAATTGAAATATATTACATATATAGTGTTAGGCTTCACCGTAATCACCCCATTTCTCCATCCCTTAATACATTTCAATTTCCTCTCTCCCTCTCTCTCTATATATATGCAAAATATGCATATATATACATATATATATAGAGAGTGTGGAAATTGAAATGTATTAAGGATGAAGCACGGGGGGTGATTACGGTGAAGCCGAACACTGAAACATTATATCTGCATAAATACATAAATATGTGTGCATATATACATAACATACACATATATATATTTATAGAGAGAGAGAGTGGAAATTGAAATGAATTGAGGGAGGGAGGGAGGGAGGGAGAAAAGGGGGTGATTACGTACGGTGAAGCCGAACTGGATAGGGCCCAAGGCGACGACGAGGACGCAGAAGAGGACGGAGACGGAGCTGTCGCGGATGATTTGGGCGGAGGAGCCCATAATGCTCGATTGTCTAGACCCCATCCGGTACCAGCTTCCGGTGTGCAGTAATGGCTTCCTCAGCCCATCGTCGGAGCTATCGTCTCGGGTAATGGCGGTACTGGAAGCCATTACGACGACCTCGTCCTTGTCGTGTCTTCTTCAAGACAATGAACGATAAATACACACACATTTCGTGTTTATTTATATATATGTGTGTGTGTTTGTGTGCCTGAGCTGGGTTGGCGAAACAGACGGACAAGCAAATAACTGGAATGTTTTCCGGTTAATAGGGTCGGTGGTGCTGACGAGGATGGGTTATAAAAGAAGAAGAATGGTCTTGTTGACGTGTCATGGGCCCACCGGTCCATCCATTGATTTTCATTTGTTTAACGATTCGTTTGGATAAACATATGAAAAACAAAATTAAAAAAAAAAATGATAAGAATAATCTTTATTTATGTTTGGATAAATTGTGAGAGGGAAAATGAGGTATTCTTGTTTGAAAGAAAATAAAGGTTAAAAATTAAATTACTATCATAATTTTTTTATAAAATATTATAAGATGGTAGTTTTGGTATTATGAAAATACTACTCACTCATTATTCTTTCTCTGTAAATATTCTCATTTTTGAAATAATAGCAGATGAAGTATTTAGAGGGATAACTATCTAAATTCTTTCTTTTTTCATCGGATGGATGGATTTTGAATGATTTAGAGAGAAAATAAAAGGAATGATAGTGTATATTGTGTTTGGATGAGAGGAATTGGGTAGAAAAGAAAGGATTTTGAGGAATAACTATCTCTCCAAATACATCATATTGTACCCCTTTAAAATTGACAAGATTTAGAGGAATTTGGACGGAAAGGAAGCTAATGACAAAAGTAGTCTTCACCATATTGTTCACCTTCTCTTCTGTTTTTCCTTACTCCACTTCTGTATATTCCATCACACCACAGCATCCACTACTGGGCTATGTTACGGTCTGGATGAGAAAAAGGTCGATCAAATAATCCCGATCCCGTGTCAGAGTTAGAATCATGTTCGTATTCATAATACACACACACACGTAAATTCATACATAAATACATACATACATACATATATATATATATGAAAGAAAATTTTGACCTTCTTCTTTAGTTTTCCATCGCCAGATTTGGCTTGCTTGGAAGACGGGCGAGGAGCTTTAAGATGATGAGCGAAAGGGTGGGTGTTCTACAGAGAGAAACTAACGCCACAAGAGGGGGGAGGTGGGTGTTAGAGAGAGAAACTAACCCAAAAAAAAAAAAAAAAAGGATAAGATGGTAATTTAATTATTATCTTTTATTTTCTTTTCTCTCATTTGTGTTATCCAAATAAGAATACTATCCATTTATTTATTTTCTCTCCAATCTATCAAAATATGAATATAAATTATAGTTATTATTTCCTTTCATTTATTTTCTTTTATAACTAATGCTATTATTCCCTTTCTTTTCTCTCCCGTATATCTAAACGAAGCCTAAAAGTTACCCAAACTTGATTTTTAGAATTATTTCTTTTCTTTTTCTCTCCAAATCACTCAATCAAAGCTTTAGATTTTCAATTGTTTAATTTGAAAAAAATTGGATGAAAGGAGTTATTCCTTTGGATGAAAGACAAAATAATAAGTTACAAATTAGTGTAATTGTTAAAGAGAGAATAAAAAAGAGTTTTAAAATTACCTACCACTATTTAGTAAAAATATTGTAATTTATAAGGTAAAGTACCCAAAAAAAAAAACCCATCGACTTGTAGTCTTTTCCATAAACCTTGTCTATTTTTTTACCAAAGAAACCCCTTGGACTTGTAGCCATTTCGAATACATCCCCCTTGTCTAATTTTTTTACCAAAGACCCCCCTTAATTATCTAAGGGGGTAAAAGAGTTAATATTTGGATCAAAATGTCATTTTATTTAAATCTTAGTCTTTCCAAACTTCAATAATATATGCATAGAAAGCTTATAAAATAAGGATTCCAGAAATATAAGATTTGTTTAACAAAATTCTATAACCAGAGAGAAATAGACAATCTAAAAATTTACTGCAATAATCTTATTTTATTTTTTATAAAATACTCGGGTTATTTGCAAGAAAATTTTTAGAATTATTCATTTTCATATGGAGTATAACATATAAAAAAATTAGCCCCAAAAGAGACCGAATATTCATTTTTATTTATTTATTGAATGGTGAGCCTATAAAAGAATGAAAATAATTTGACGCAAAATATGATATCTCATGAAATCGATCTTTATTGGGGCTAAATTTTTTATATATTCGGCTCCATATGTAAATGAATAATTCTAAATTTTTTTTAGCAAATGTCTCAAGTTTAAAAAAATAAAATAAGATTATTGGAGTAGATATTTAAATTACTTATTTCTCTCTGGTTATGAAGGTTTGTTGTACAAATTTTATATTTCTGAAATCCTTATTTCATAAGCTTTCCATGCATATATTATTTACAATTTTTAAATGTATGATTTGTGAGATATGAAATTTTGAAGTTCGGAAGAATTAAAATTTAAATAAAAGGGCATTTTGGTCCCAATAACAACTCTTTAACCCCTCCAAATAGTTGAGGGTTTTTTTTGGTAAAATATATAGGGGGATTTATTGGAAAAATGTTACAAGTCGAGGGTGTTCTTTAGTAAAAAAATATACAACTTTTTACTGAAAAATGTTACAAGTTGAGGGTTTTTTTTTTTTTTTTTTTTTTTTATAAATACTTTACCCTATTTTATATAAAAAATAGTATTGTAATTTAAATAGAATAGTATTGTAATTTAAAATTTATGTAATACTTAATTTTCTTGGCCTCTCTCGTTAGGATGAAAATTTATAAAAGATAATTCATCTTTTTATTATTCTTTGTTTCCTCTTTATCAAACGTCCTTTCTTGATATATTATTCCATCCACTCCTAACAAATCATAATTGGATAAAATTAAATATATTGATTTAGGATTTAAAATTTAATAATGTAATGTTGTTTGGTTGTTTGGAAACACTGGTGCTTTGGATTTAAAATTAGAACAAATTTAGTTCAAAAATTTAATTAATTTTTCTTTAATTACAAATTTAAGTGCTTCCAAACATGGTATAAATAAATTTGGTGATAGTTTATGTAAATAAATTTTAAATAAGAGATAAAAAATAAAAATAAAACAAACAAAAGAAGAAGAAGAAGCCTTAATTTTAGGAATATTATTTGTTAAAATCAACTTTTGAAGGGGAATGTATTCAAACCCATTCCATTAGGAGGGAGATTAAATTCACCCTCGTGTAAAATTGAAAGATTTATTTCTATTTTTTAATACTGGTTAAAAATTTTAATTCTATAATTCATTACAAATCTTAATAATTTGTTAAATTAACAAATTAAATCTAGTTTATTGTCATTTCAATCCAATTTTATATAATATAACATGCTATCATGTATCATTGGTGTGCATGTGATGAAAAAATTAATCAAAATGTTTGTCTAAATGGTCATTTGAAAGGTATGACATAAAGATACTCGTTGAGAAGGGAAAAAAAGAAAGAAAAAAAAAAGTTTTTGAAAAATCCAAATCCAAAACACACACAGATCGCCTATTTGGGGTTGTTTTTTTTTTTTTTTTTTTTTTTTTTTTTTTTTTTTGAAGAGAACTAAAAATTTGTTTGTTTGTTTCTTAAAATTTGAGTTAAATTTTTTGTTTTGTTTTCACAAAATTAATTATTTTTTATATTTCTCTAATACTAATACTTTTCTATTTTCTAAATTGTTTAGAAATATTTTCAAAAGCCCTGATTTGTCGATGGTCTAGAGCACCCAAAGGACTACAGAGACCCAGCCCGTTGAGTGATGGCATAAAAGTACATTGACTTCCAAACTAGTACACTTCTCTTCCCCATCAACAAAACGTGTACTCAGGTGTCAGAATCCCGATCGACATTGCCGAACAAACACCCAATTCCACCGCCACCACCGGAAAAACCCAACACGACCACCAGTCAGACCATCTATTTCGCATGGGTGAGCAAACTCCAATACAGACCCAAACCCAAACACCCTCTGAGCCCCTTCACTCCCAATCTCTTGAAGAACCCACTTCTCAGTCCCAAGAACCAACAGTTTCACAACCCCCCTCAACTGATTTTTCCCAAACCCCCTCTAGCTCCTCCAAAATCCCAATCCGACCCCAGAAAATCAGAAAGCTCTCCTCCAACGCCTCCGTCTCCGCCGCGGCAGCCGTCGACGACAAATCTCCGGTTGAATCCGCCGATGGAGAGTCCTCCAAATCTCTCTCAGTCTCCCAAGACACCAACGCCGCCGCGGCGAAGTCTAGGAGGAGAAATTCTTCAAGATCAGCTAGGGTTTTGCCGAGCATCATAAAGCCATTGTCATCTGAAGGTGAGATCGATCGTGCGATTCGGCATCTACGTGCCGCCGATCCATTACTCGCGAGCTTGATTGACTCTCACCCGCCTCCCATTTTTGAGTCCCACCACCAACCATTCCTTGCCCTAACCAGGAGCATTCTCTACCAGCAACTCGCGAACAAGGCCGGGACGTCGATCTACACTCGGTTTCTCGAGTTATGCGGCGGCGAGGACGGTGTTCGCCCCGACGTCGTGCTCGGGTTATCGACGCAACAGCTCCGGCAAATTGGAATCTCAGGCCGAAAAGCTATTTACTTGTACGACCTAGCGAATAAATACACCACTGGGATTTTGTCTGACAATTCAATTGTGGCAATGGATGATAAGTCACTGTTTACTATGCTTACAATGGTGAAGGGAATTGGGGCATGGTCAGTGCATATGTTCATGATTTTTTCGCTGCACAGGCCGGATGTGTTGCCGGTGGGTGATGTCGGTGTTCGTAAAGGCGTGCAGCTTCTTTATGGTTTGGATGAGCTGCCAAGGCCTTCACAGATGGAACAGCTCTGTGAGAAGTGGAAGCCCTATCGGTCTGTCGGGGCGTGGTATATGTGGAGGTTTGTTGAAGGGAAGGGGGCTCAACCTGTTGGAGGAGTGCCGGCTTTAGAGGGCATTGTCCCGTTGCAGCAACAAATGGCGGAGCAGCAGCAACAGCATCAGTTACAGCTTTTGGAGCCAATTAGTAGCATTGCAAATTTTGGGTATTTGCCTTTTTGCTCTAAATTCTAAAGTAGTACTTGTTAGTTGTTATTTGTTTGAGAAATTATTGTTTGCGAATTTTTTGCTGGTCACTGTGGTGTTGTGTGTTCCCCCGATTTATGTTTGGATTCTTTGCTTAAACAGAAGTTGGGATTCCTGCCACTCAGTGTTGTTACTTTCACAGTTTAACATTTCATGTAAATTATGTTAGGGTCTGATTCATTTGAAGTTTAGAGTTGCAGTTCAGTGCCATTGATTTTGGAATTGCGATTGAGCTAGAATTATGATTTTATTGTTTGGATGGATTAGAATTCCGCTCGGCTATGAAGTGTAAATGCACGAGGCAAGGAATAAAACGATTAGGATATGGAAGAAGAAATATGAAAAAGCATTGGATTCAGAGTGGCAAAGAATTTATAAATTAAGTCTTTAAATTTTTTGCAGCAAGCTTATGCTGGAAAACTCTTTTGAAAGATAAGAATGAAATCCTTCATCCAAAAACTCAGTAACTCATCAAAAAGCAACCATAGCTTTTCAATGTACTTGTCATTATTAGGATTAGTATGTGCCATAAGTTAATTGAAAAGAGGAATGACACCAAAAACAGGTTTTCTTAGTATGTTAATTCGAAAATCAGAAAAGAGAAGCTAAGCATGAGAAATCCACAAATTTTTTTTATTTTTTTTAAACAAAGAACAAAAATGGAAATTTGAAGAACCTTAGATAGAATTTGATGAATGAACAAAAGCCAAGAGAAGTTGATATCTTAGATACGAAAGATGGAGGGTCTGTTCCCTAGATAATCTAGCTGTTGTTTCTCCAGTCGAGATGGAAGGTGGAAGTAGATAGGAGTGAATTTGATCGACTTGCTGATAGGAGGTTCCTGCAATTTCAAACTCTTGGGCATGAATCGTGTGTTGCAATTTCCTATTCAAAATTTGGTTGTAGTGTGTCAAGTTCATAAGCCATTTGAGAATAGACATTGAAGACAATGTAGACAGCAATTCGCGAAGAACATGGTGCTGGTTCAGAATTCCTTATGCTTAATCACATATCTAGTGCACATGTAAATGACCTTAGAAAGACCTCCAATAACCTAGTTTTGATCTTGGCGAGGCTTAACATATTTGTTTAAATTTGCTTTTGTATAAGTGACTTTTCAAAACCCTAAGGGTTGGCTCAAGTGGATAAGAACTTGACCCTGGTACCTCAGGGAGCATCAGGTCTAAGGTTCGAATCCTCTTGGGTGTAAATAATTCCTTGAAGACAAGAGAAAGGAAGGGGGGGGGGGGGGGGGCGAGTGACTTTTCGAAGTATTGATTATTGTAGAGTTCTAAAATATTGTTTTTTTTATGGAAAACATTGCCCACTGATTAGTAGGTGAATCGATCAAAGGGCTCTCCTGTAGACTTCAATTGATAGGTGGAATCGTGGATGGATCAATTTTTTTATTTGTTATTTTTGTAAAACTTTTTATGGAACTCCAATAAGCCTCAACTGATGTCTTGATTGATCGAGACGTCTGTGTGCTAAGTTCATAAGCTATTTGAGTATAGACGCCGAAGACAATGTCGACAACGATTTGCGAAGAACACGGTGCTGGTTCAAAATCTGCATGCTCAATCACACATCTAGGGCACATGTAAATGACCTTAGAAAGACCTTCAATAACCTAGTTTTGATCTTGGTGAGTCTCAAAATATTTGTTTAAACTTGCTTTTGTAAAAGAGACTTTTCAAAGTATTGTTTATTGTACAGGTCCTAAAATTATGTTATTATTATTATTATTATTTTTTATTTATTTATTTTTATGGAAAACATTACCCTCTGATTAGTAGGTGAATCGATCAAAGGGCTCTCCTGTAAACTTCAATTGATAGGTGGAATCATGGATCGGTCATTTTTTTTAAGGAACTCCAATAAGCCATGACTGATGTCTCGATTGATTGAGATCTTTCCTGTAGGTGTCAATCTCGAACCCTGCAGAAGTTTGTTTTTGGAAAATCTCTGGAAACATACTTCTTCAGTGGTTCAACTTACCAAATCGTATTAGCTACCTATATTGGCTACACATATGGGTTTATAATCAGTCTTGGGTATGGTTACAAGCCTTTAATCATCCAGAGGGAGAAAATCCTTGAAAGATTTTCTCAATATAGGGTTTCCTTCATTATTTGTGATTGAGGGTTGAACAAGTAGAAGAAGTACATCAGATTATCGAGAGAAATCAATTCAAACGATCAAGGAATTGAACAAAGATTTAAACAACCATGAAGAAGCAGATTTTGTGGAGCAAAATCTGTTGAAGCGGATCAAGGATCTGGAGACTTTGAGTGTGAGTTTGGCTACATTTTATGTCAAGAGATAACTAGGAGTTTTGGGTTGTGGGAACTGTCAACCTATTTGCAACCTTTTTCTCATAATGGATTGTTTATGGCTTAATTAGATTCCGTGGTTTTTTCCTATTTAGGTTTTTCCACATAAAAGTCCATGTGCTTTGTTCCCTATTTAATTTCGTGTTTATGTGATTGTGTGATTGAATACAAACTATATGGATTAACTGAAACAGACTAAAATTAAAATTAAAATTAGCAAGAATCTAGCAAACAACTAAAATTTAAAATTAATTTCCATAAGACCTATTCCTCTTGGTCTAATTTACCAATTTCCATACAAACCATTTAGGTTACTATCTTAATACTCTGTCACAAATCTTAAAACTGCAAATTGTGAATTATCCAAAAAGAATTGTGGGCTGCACGCCCCTATGGACACACTTATTTTTTATTTATTTGGAATTGGGTTTAGTTTTCAATTCTATTGCAAAATAGATGACAATCAACTAATTTGAAATTAGTAAGGTCAATTCAAACTCCATGTCGTGTTTCTTGCCCCAACTTAAGATCTAATCATGACCTTTGTTTATTTATGTATTTATTTATTTGTGTGGGATTAAAATATCCATGTTTTATAACTCCATCGTTCTCAACAATGGATTCAAGTATGCTAGATTAATTACATGCGTGCAAATTAGTAAAGACAATTTGAAATTAAAGTCACCTTGCAACAGCATGCTGTATCTACCCATGCTAGTGATACATTCCTATTTGTCATATATTTCCAAAAAGGGGTAAAAAGAAAAGAAAAGAAAAGAAAAGAAACCTTTTATTTAACAAAACAGAAAGTCAAAATTTGAATCATAAGGCATTGTTTGGTAAAACTGAATTAGAAGCCTTGAAGACTAATTTGTAAATAACCAGATTAGTAGGACTCACATTTAATGACAAACATGTCAATTCTAATTTAGTTTTAAAATCACCTCTCATTTATCTTGTTTACACGCATTGGTAATGCACTTCTTTGAGCATTCAATCATAGTTCAGTAGGATATTGGATTTAAAATTGAGACCCCTTTAATGGAATGTATCTTCTTAAGTTGGTCAATCCAATAACACCCACCTCTCACTGGAGGATGACCTGAATCTTGAGTTCATGCTCAAAGAAAAAAGATTGTCATTGGTTATCCCAGCAAAGTTGGTCCTGTTTTCTCATGAACCTTTTAGGTTGCCTTCCTCACTTGGTTGGACAAACAATTCTCTCATGGTTGGCCACTTGTTTTGGATTATTTTGGATCATTTATAATAGATGCTTATACACAACATATTTGATGAGACAATTGATAATCTCTACATTGCTTGGCTCTTTGAGATGTTGGACAATCTTGCCTTCCTCTTTTCGTGGTTTTTAGGTGATGCATAGGACAATGTTGGATACTTTTTGTGGTTGACATATTGCTCTATGAACGGGGGTGGCAAGATTCTGTGCATCTTGGTGGTTAACTGCTTAATTTGGTGTATTTGGATGGAGAGAATGACAGGAAGTCTTGAGGGAAGGAGAGTGTTTTTTTTCAAGTCCTACACTCGTTAAATATCTTTGCTGTTCTGTTATGTTTCACTATGTGCATCCTTGCATCGCTCTTTTTCCCTATCAATAAATTTCTTAAGAAAAGTAACAATAACAATAACTGTGACTAGAAGATGATGGTCCTTTAATATCCGATTTGCTAATTTTGAAGGTGAAATATATGCTGGAAGCACAATTAGTGTTAATTATAAAATTCAGAAATAGTGTACTGGATTGGATGGCAATGAGAATGAAGAGTGGATCTATGACTTAGCAGCATTGGCTATCTCTTGGATTTGGGACATGCCCTTTTCCTTTTACATCTCTCGGGATTGGGCCCAGCCCTGCCCTTCCTTTTTTCATAAAATTCTTATCAATCAGAACAGAATTCAGGAAAGTAACAGCAGAAGTATGTTGTTCCCTTGTGTTAGACTTGCAAATTGTAAGCCTGGCACAAAATCTAAAATTTATAGCTAAGAAACAGTTCTTTTACAATAAAAATTTAAATAGATTGGAGGTTGAAAGAGGCTGATGAATAGTATTCTACTGTATCTAGGCTCTGATGCCCTGGCTATCCAATCCAAGTGGTGCATATTTCCCGCCTTTTTACTTGTGCTTTTGGGGCCTGTGGTGGTAGGCCTTGGTTGTTCTGTAATGATATAGAAACCTTAACATTTCTGCATCTCTGTCTTGGGATTTGCTAAATACAGGTGTTTTGCTCCCAAACTATCTTTCATGAATGGGATAGAGAGATGGCATGCACATCTTTCGCCATTGCCTGGTGCAGTGGTGGAACATATTTTTCCAAGAATACCAAAAAATAGGTTCATAGTCTGATTGTTTTGTTTGCTTCTCTCAGCACCCCAAACTATCTTTTCATGAATGGGCTAGACAGATGGCGTGCACATCTTTCACCATTGCCTGGTGCAGTGGTTGAACATAGTTTTTAAAGAATGCCGAAAATTAGGATCATAGTCTGATTGCTCTGTTTGTTTCTCTGAGCACCCCAATTAACAAGGATCAACACTGGCTAATGGCCTCTAAATGAACTTGAGTTCTTTTCCAACGAGACACTAACATCCAAATAGTAGTGAAAAAGTTTTACCAAGCCGAGTTGGGTTGAGTTGTAAGAAGTGTGGATTTCTTTTTAATAGGTATGAACTACATTTGGTGTGATGGGTAAGACTTGGAAGTTGCCTTGACTATGCTATTCCATATTAGCTACATCTTGCTCAATCATTCCTATTGTTCTTCTTTTGTTTTTTTTCTGGGATTGACCATAGAGACACAAATTTGGAGATAATTTAATCGCTCGATGCATGTGGGTAGCTTTTCAGTGCATTTATGTCATATAATCGCATCAGAAATTTTATAGTAGCTACACGGCTTGTCTGCCTTGGCTGCTGCTTAAATAGGACATTCTTGTTTGTTTGTGCTTTAAGCTTATTAGATGGATTTAGCGTGATATTAATATTTATAAAATATTTCATTAATCAGATCTACCTCCTTTACCTCAATTGTTCTTCACATTCTTTAACGTTATATAACTCGATCTTCTTTTGTTTGTTTTACAAGAGATGCTGATATATTATCGTTTCTTGCTACAATTCATTTTAGGCCTTGCATATGGGGACAATGATTGGGACGAAACTCGGAAGGACTGCCAACTTCTTCATCTTTACAGTGTTCTTACCATGCTCCTGGTTTTCAGTTAATCTGCAGAGGCAGACTATCAAAACTCTAAATATGATATAACTGCAGATTCTTGATTTGGCATAAAAAGCTTAGACATCCAAATCTGTTCTTTAGTATAAAGTTGCTTTCAAAATTTTAATAACGAGCGTTATTTTAGGACACAGAGAGGAAAAAAAAAAAAAAAAGGAAAAGGAAAAACAAGTGGTTGTGAAAGGATTCCATTTAGAGCTCCTTTTAAGTGTTTGTTAGAGCTCTATTTGATGGAATTAATACAGTGCTGATTATTTTAGAATTGCTTTCTTTTTTCTTTTTCTTTCTTTTTCTTTTTTTCTCTTTTTCCTCCTTTAATTTTGTATCCAAAAACTTTTGATTGTAGAGATTTAAAATCAATGGTGTTTTTTTTTTATTTTATTTTATTTTTATTTTATTTATTTTTATTTTTATAATTTTGTATCCAAAAACTTTTGATTGTAGAGATCTAAAATCAATTGTTTAGGTTTATTATTTCAATTTTAACTTCCATCATTGAAATCTAGTCTGATACACTACACAAGCACACAAACACACATTCATGTATCATTGACTCATTCTGTTATTTATGCACGTGTAGAATATCTCTTTGAACTTCTTGAACAACTGAAAGTTTCTGTAATTTAGTCAAGTTTATTTTGTAAATCTGCTTTGTTTACTTGTCGACATTAAATGGTTCATGTGCGAAACTTTTGATATTTGTTCGATTGGTTCCGACAAGTCACATAGAGCAAGTGCGAGAACGGGAACAAAATTTAATGGAGTGAGATTGGGGGTGGAAGTGAAATTTAAGTCAGAGAGTGATGGGGATAAAAGTCGCGGGGAGTGTGAGAGCAGAAGCATCTGTGTAGAAGAACTATGCGACTTCAGTTTTGATGCTTGAATATGATCCAATTCCCGGTTTAGAAGAATTATATGTGACATTGGTTGGTTTTGACACTTGAATATGATTCAATTTCTGGCCGGTTTAGAAGAATTATGTGACATTTGGTTTTGATGCTTGAATATGATTCAATTTTCGGTTTAGAAGAATTATGTGACATTGGTTGGTTTTGATTATGTGACTTCGGTTTTGATGCTTTAATATGATTCAATTATGTGACATTGGTTTAGAAGAATTACGTGACATTGGTTGGTTTTTGACGCTTGAATATGATTCAATTCCCAATTTAGAATAATTATGTGACATTCGGTTTTGACCCATGAATATGATTCCATTCACAGATTTAGAACAAAAGAGCTTAATACCATTAAAAAATATGAAAACAAATGTCAGAACAAGCAAGAATTAAACCCCAAAAATAAGCTGTTGACAGAGACCATGGATATAATTCCATATGACATTTTATAACCACCAGCAAAAAGTGGACTACTTAGTACAGCAAAATCAACTAAAATATGAAACTCTGTAACCTAAAAATTTTGAGACAAAAAGATTAAATCCAAGATGAGACGCATATATATACATATGTATATATACACACATACCCACAATTTCATTTTGAACTGTCCCAAAATGCCATCAGAGTTGCCTAATCATGAGAAGGAAAGGCAAAGATGTATGGCATGGCAGTCCCTTATTAATTACAAGAAAATGTTCTTGAAATATTACAGGTCTCAATTCAACCTATAGTAAACTTATTATAGAACAGCCATATATAGATATAGTGATATATGTATTTATAAATATAATTAGAGCAGCAACCTATCACTCAGTTGTGGTTGTTGTTCATGTCCCTGGCTTTAGTGGTCATGACATCCCTGAAGGAGACATAACCTCCATTGGCCTGGGCTTTGGCTTCTTCGTAGGCTTTCTTGACGTTCTCTTCTCCATAAGGCATTGCTGCTGACAGTGTGTCTTTGTAATCGGTGACCTTATCGTTAGCCATTTTCCGAGCTTGATTGGCCTTGTCACCAGCATTGTTCACGGCCTCACCGGCCTTGCCGGAAACGGTGTCCATGGCCGAATTTGCTTGCTCACTTGCGTAATTCTTTGCTTTATTGGTCATGTCTGCCGCCTCATTGGCCTTTGAAGAAGCGTACTTCATCGCGTCTGCCAAAATATCAAAAATGAAAATGTTGGAGAACGAATTGATTTGCATGGAATAACATCGCACGAGTCTGAAAAAAAAAAAACACACACACACACACACACAAACCTTCTGAAGCTTTTGATGCAGCTTGGCCTGCATTGCTAATCGACTGCTCAGGTGCAGATTTTGAATCTTGTCCTCCGATCCTAAAATGGGACATCAAAACATAAATTAATGATCCATAAAACAGTGGTATTTGAACATTTTCACTAAGCTTGGCCAAACAAATGTCAGTGGGCAAGCTTACAGAGCTTCACATAGTCACATAGTGCAACTATGTACATAACATTATAAGAGACGAAATTTGAAATCAAAAGCTTTTGGAGCTGCAGAAAAGTTGACAGGTGTGTGTAATTAGGGTTGCAACTATGTGTGACGCGTACAATTGTATCATAATACTTTGAGCCAACATTAATTGTATTAATCAAAGAATTTGTAGTCCAATAGTAAAATCTTTCCAGGGTGAAGGATTCGAGTCTGGACGTGAGCAAAAGTATGTGTAAAAACTTACGACATGAAAAAAACAAAAACACACACATTTACAAGGGGTGCAAAAAAAAAAAAGGGTCCAAAGGTTCAATGTGCGGCCCAATTAGGTTCAATATTCTCTCGAGTCGCAAGTAATGACATGCATATAGGTTTAATGCTTCCTATGTTGGGGAAAGCGGCCCAATCGGGTTACTACCTTGAGGTCTCAGGTCCAGATACTGATCTAAACGGTAGTCGGGGTTCTTGTTTTTGCCATTTGTCCAAAGAAACCCTGATTAGAATGGTTCAGGTCATTAACCCAAAAAAAAAAAATGAAAAAAAAAGAAAAAGCTTTATCTAGCTTGAATTTTTTTAATAATGCTCCTACTATTTTGTTTTTTGGGATAAAAACACCTGAACATACTCACTGCCCTCGCCAAAATTCTTTATTTATAATATACCTATTTACTTAAATATTAACTTAATAATAATCAAAATGGAAGCATTTACTCAAAAAAGAAATAAAAGTATAAGCAATTTTTAACTAAATTATCAAAATTTCTGATTCCCTCGCCTTTTGTATAACTATAATCACATTGAATTAATTCTATGCTATTTTTTATATTTCATAGCATATAACTGGTATTGAAATTAGAAAAAAATTACTTCAAACTTAAAACGATAGAAAATGAAATGTATGTATATGTGTATATGAACTTACTCAGTGAACTTTCCCTTAGCCCAATCAGTCCAAGATTCCTCACCCAAACACAAGGTCATCTCCACCGACACCACGGCCAGCCATAGCACCAACAACGCCGTCCTCATTGCCATGTCTATCTCTCTCTACACTTTATCTCTCTAGAAATTACTGTGGTAAATGTTAGATCAAATTTCAAAGAACCAAATAAATTATGAATGAATGAGTTGGGAGAGACAAAAAGTGTAAGATATATAGATACAACGGTTGGTTAATAACTCGCGTTACCGTTGGGTGACGTGGCGGTGCTTGGGGATTTCACTTTGCCACGTGGACATGAATTTAACCCAGTGTTGTGCGGGCTTTGCTCCTCACCAATAAGGAGTTTATTGGGCCATGTTCGAAGTCAGATGGGCCAAGAGATGGTCCACCAAGGCCTGGTTTATTGGGAGGTCAACGAACCTGGTTCTCTAACACCAGTCAGTGACAAACGGTGGAAAAAGTTTTGTAACTTTTGATTTTCCCGACACTTTTGAGTTATATATATATATATATGTTATATAACTTTTGGAATAATTTTTTTAAAACAAATATCTAATTTAAGGTCCTTTGATGTCCATAATTTTTTTTTTGGAACACTTAGATGGTGTAATTTTAGTATTTATAATCTGCATTCTGAGTCTATCTTCTTTTGATCGGGAAAAGAACTACACATAGTTAGAAGAAAAAGAGCCATGTTGTTGAACATTTATTTCAGCATTTATTTTAGCGAGGGTGACGGGTTTGAAAAAAAAAATATTATTAGCCGTGTTTGAAAAAGTAATCTCCCATCATAAACACATTCCGTCAACATCACATTTTAATTTGTTCGCTTAGAACTCGAACACCCCACCTCTTAAAAAGGGGAAGAAGAGGTCATACCAATTAGTTTAATAGCCCAATGGTGACTCAAATTTTCACAATTTTGGGCAGGCTTCGTCATTTGGATTTGAAGATTAATGGCTTGTTTGGTTTGTGGTTTAGAAAATAGCTATTAATTTTCTGAAAATAAAAAAATTGTATAAAAATTCTACTTAGTTCAAATTTATAAAAAATCAAATATAAAAAAATTTGTTTTTAAGTAGAACTGTTTTTTATAATTATCTAAAACAGTTTTCTGTTTTTGAATTTACGAGAACTACTCTTTTTAAAATACTGAACCAAACATATCCCAAGTATATTGAATTTTGTTGTTCCACTGATGAATTGGTTAATTGCTACTTATGTTGGACAAAAGGAAAAAAAAAAAATTGTCACTTATGATCATATATATATATATATATATTCATTTGTTATAGTAATTGTTTATCTGAGAAGATTTAATTCGTGTCCACATGTAGATGAGACAGCCTTGAATGACACAGAATTCAATACGGGGACACCACTGAATTATGAATATTACACTGATTACAATTACATAAAAAGATGAAAAGTTTATTAATTATTACACTGATTACAATTACATGATAAGATGAAAAGTTTTTTCATCAAGATTAGGAAAGCTAAATGAAAACTACAATACATAGCAGAGCTTCATTTTGAAATACTTCTTGTACTGATACTTTCTACTAGCTTTGTCTTGACCACCAGTGGAGCTTTTATTTAGTACTTCTTAATTAAGCCTGTTACAAATGTAGAGATTTGAGAGGAAAAGAAAAATCAGTCCTAAATCATTAAAGTGATAAAATAATATATTCAAAAATGGAAATTAAAAGTTAAAATAGAAATGCTGCCTGAAGTATCAGATAGGATGGAAAAGACAAAAGCCATAAATAAATAAAGGTTACAAATTGCAAAGTAATGGGAAAAGAAAGAAGTTAATTGAGTAGGGCATGCAAGAGTTTGATGTGTGTGTGTGTGTGTATATATGTATATAAATAAAAGAGGGGACCAGTATTTTGTATCTCAAATTTGAATTGTTTGAACTATTATTAAAATTTACATGCCTCTAGAGACGGCAACAGTCTCTCTGCACATTACGTATATCTTATTTTCTTTAGACTTCGCAATGATAAAAATTTCGTGCTGTGAACTAATCTTTGATCACCATTGTCATGTTATCCATGACAAAGAGTAGTATTAAGTCTTGTGTGGGATTTCTTTGTGCTTAGGTACAAGATAAGAAGTTGAATGATATATGCTCACCTTTTGTCCACTAAAAAAAAATGATAAGCAGGTTAGTGAAGGGAGCTTTGGTTTAATACTTGTTTGGATGTAAAATATTTTTTAAAAATTATATTTTTTATTTTTTAGTGTTCAATTGCCGTAAAATATTTATAAAGAAAAAAAATATTAAACTTAACAAAAATAACCATTAATTTTTGATAAATTATTTTAGGAAAATGATAAAGTTACCGAATGATTTCTCCGAATAAATATCGAATCTGATGTATTTTTGTCTACCTCATCTACTTAAACAGTTTCCAAAAAATAATTGTTTAACACGTGATAAGTATAGCTAACCACGTCAAATTCGGGACTTATTCGGGGATTCTTTTTCGATTCTCCTATCATTACTCATTATTTTAAGCTTCCTGATAGACTTAATCTCAACCTCGACTTAGACCTTTACCAAATACCGAAAAAGCAATATATAATAATAATAATAATAATTTACCTAAAAAACGAAAAAAATGAGAAAAATATTTTTTGTAGCAAAATCCTCTCCTATGAACAACACGGTGTTGTGCATAAGAGATGGTGGATTCACGGCGTTTGTAGTGACCACAGTTCGTATAGTGACGACGGTGTTGTGCAAGACACTTTTGTGACGGACCAGAACTGAGTAATGTCCAAGGGTCTCAAGGTAGACTATAGGTAGAGACTTGGTGGAACAATGAGGAAAGTGTTTGCATAAAAACCTAGCTGCAAAATGAGCATTTGGCTAGATACACTAGACAGATAGTACTACTTACTGCAGTGTCATCTGTGGTCAGGATGCTCCATTGCTTCAGCGATTGCCTCCGGTCGACCTGTACTTCGGGTACGGGACATTGCCTGATTCAATGTGCCTGAGGTCCTCTACGAGGACCTCATAGTGCCTCTTCACTTCCTCTGCAGATTTCTCTCCCACTGCTCTGGCAATGTTCTGCCAACGGTCCGGGGTCTCCTTGTCATACAAAGCCAACGCCTTCTCGAAGAGCTTATTCTGCTTTTGTGTCCAAGAGGAGAGGGAGTTTGATGCCATTAGTGGATTGCTAAGTTCTAAGTGCACTTAAAATTAACACAACTAAAGAAGGCAAATAGAGTTCAGTTTTTGTGTGGTGGTCAAAGAATGAAAATGGGAGTGAGTGAGTGAGTGAGTAAAGAAGTGACTAAAAATGAAGCATGTAACAAGCAAAAAGGAAGAGAAAAGAAATAATATTTTAAGTGAAGGAAGATGAGTTGATGGTATGGGAAAGAAGTTAGCAATGGAGCTCCTTATAAACAGGTGGGAAAAGGTGGTGGTGGTGGGGTTAAGCCAATTGGGCAATGGAATATATCCTGAAAAGGGGAAGAAGAATTAATAAATAGTGAGTCCTCCCATTAATAACCATTAGATGGAGCAGGACAAAAAACAAGTGAAAGGAGAATCAGTATCAAGAGACACTCTTGATATGGTTCTGTTAAATCATTCAAAATTTCAAATTCTCTTGGATACTTTTTTCACTAACAAAATTAGAAAAATTTGAAATTTTATATATTGATAATGGAATGAATTATTCTGCTATAAATGTATTTATAAATAAAAATTCTAACAGCATAAGAAACCCTAAAAACATAAGGAAACTAGAAGTTTAAGGAAACCTGCTCAAAATCAAACTTTTAAATTTTTTATGTAAAAATAAGATAAGAAACTTAATTGCTAAAAATTATTAAATACCAAAAAGGAAAGTAATTCGAATCTATTTGGACTTCTAACGAAAATTCCGAAACATTCAAAATTGGGAAAATGTAATTTTCGAACCCTAAACGATTGGATGTAGCCAAAAGACCTACTTCAGCGGTAAAGATGCTAATTTTTGCGAGTTAGGAGTCTTTTCAAATCAGGGTAATTTCAGGTCAAAATGAATTCGTCAAAATTATCCTGAAAAAAATGTGTCAGTCTGTCTGTTTGACCTTTTGACAGTCCAAACAGGTTCCAAAATCATCAGCAATCTGTTCTACATTATTTATTCTTCTCTTTCATATTTTAATTGAGACTTTGTCATCCTTTCCCATCTTTTCTTTTTGGTTAGTAATTTCATTCTTTTCCTATCCTCATTTTTGCCTTTTATTTTTTGTTTCAACTACAAAAATATACTCTCATTTTCTTCAATCATCATGAAGGCTGTGGTTGAGAAAACTTTAGGTTTGCCATATTACTGTGACAAAAGGCCTGTGTGTCTTATGTGCCACAAGTGGATGGAATTAGCTTCCAATATTATGCTGTTTTGAACGGCATAACAAATATTTGATTCCAGTTAGAGAACTTCATGTCAGTTCATTGGTGGTGGCGTCGACGCAGAACCAGTATACTCTGCTGCACTGATAAAAAAAGTACAGGATCCTTCAACTATGCAGCAGAGGATTCGGACTCGTCGACCACAGCATTCAACTAACGCATAGGGGGAAGGTGCTATATGGTTTGTTTCAACTTTTGACAAAAGTACGTGGTCACAAAAACTCCATGTTATAAGATTCATGAATATATATTCTCTTGGACACTTTTAAATTTTGGAAGATCTGCTGATAGTTAATATTAAAAATGGTGGCTATTGATTCTTCCCTTTGCAAAATTCCAACTGATATATGCTGAATTTCTTTCTAGAGAACAGAAAGTTGCTTGGCCTGAGTTATATCTAGCTCCAAGTTGATAAAATATCTACTCAAAACGCTCGCTTTTCTATTAAGTTGATCGCAGGTACCAACCTTTTGCAAGTGGACCAGTACGCTTATCTAATCATTTCGAATAGTCTTGGTAGACCATAAGTTTTTTATTCCTTCCTCTCTTTCGAAAGATCAAGCAAACACGCATTCACGTTATAATGTTGCTCCCATCGGGTCTCGAATACTCAATCTCTCTCTGAAGGAGAGAAGAGCTTATACCATTTAGGCTAAAGTTCATTGGTAAACGACCACGCGTTCTAAAAAAATAGGCTACTATGGCAGAGAAGGGGCTGTGGATGCAACCATCCTTGGCTGCAGCCTGCAATATCAATCCCTTCTATAATGCTGCCGTAGCTTCACACCATCCATACACATTCACATTCTTGTTTTGACCTTCTTAGTTTAAATTAATAGTCCATTCATTCCATATAAAAAAATGTTCTTTTTTGGAACCTAACTTTTTAAAAGTGTAGTTTTTATATATATTTTTGTTACAGTGGTAATGAAATTTCAAATATACCCTTCTGTAGTGAATCCATATAACTTGAATTGCTTTTATTATTTCAAGACAATGAGGGTAAATTAAGAACATTAAAAAAATAGTGCATTGGAAAGAGAAGCGAGACATATGAAAAGATTGACATTTTTTGTGGGTCAGAGTGAGTTATTTTATTTGTTGTTAAAAGCACATTGAGTGCTAGCGACACTCAATAAGGACAACTTGTCCAACTACTAACGTCCCGTTAATTGATTCGAATTTCTTTTAACCAATTACCAGGGCGTCATTAGCGACTTTCGGTAGCACTTCTCAAGTTTATAACATCCCTCCATGTGGAGCATGCCAATCCCCAATAACTTCCATTGATGAGTTGGTAGTTTAGAACCCTAAATGGTTGATATCACAAACTATTTCCTAGTTAATGATGCGTTGGAACGAAGGAAGAAGAGATGGGTAGGATTTTAATCATTAGATGAGAGTGACACATGGAATCCATATTGGGTTGGATTCTGTGTTTCATAATAAGTGGCGTTGTAGAAATTAGTTTCATTTTGATAGTATTTTGGAATCAGAACCAGGATCCTCTCCTGTACTACCTTTTTTTGGACAGTCCAGTTGAACCACCCATCACGGAGGATCCTCGCCCTTGGAATCCTTATCATGTCAAATCCACCTTTTCTAAAGAAATACTAATGCCCACGGATTCCACTACCTCTAAAGCCTGTCTTCTTTGTTTGTTTCTTGCTAACTTTATTGTCATTTAAATGCTGCATTTTTTTTTTCTTTTTTCTTTTTGGTATTTCTTATTTTCTTTTGTTTGTTTAGGAGTAATTTCAGGACCATGTAAAATTTATGTGCTTGCTCGATCCCCTCACCACCACCTCATTCACATTCACCACCTTTGCAGAATTTTTAGGAGCTTGCTTGGTTAATTTGCACCACCACCTCATTCCCATTCACCACATTTGTAGTTTTAGAGTCTTTGGGAATTTGCTTGGATTGTAATTCTAAAAACGGTTGTCAAAAATTCAAAGAATAGAAAGCAAGTTTCAGAGAACAAATATTTTTATAATGAGTTTTCATAAAACAGTTTTTAGAAAACTGAACTAAGTAGAGTTTTTTTGTACAATTTTCGATTTTCGATTTTTTAAGAACCGTTGTTACAAATCAAACAAGATCTAGATATTTTTATAAGATACTAAGGACAATACAACAAATTCTATTGATATACAATTGTTAGAGCTTCAAGCTCGCTGTGATATGAGTAAATACATCAATATGAATTGACAATACATTCAATAAGATAAATAATATATGAACAGTATAACCTCATCCACATTCACCGCATTTGCAATGTTAGAGTCCTCTTTGTGAGGGCATCAGTATAACCTCATCCACATTCACCGCATTTGCAGTTTTAGAGTCCTCTTTGTGAGGGAATTTTTAGATTTTTTTTTATACGATACTAAAAACAATAGTAATACATCAATATGAATTGACAATACATTCAAAAAGATGAATAATAGATCAATATGAATAATATGGCGATAACAATGAGTCATAAAATTTAAACCACACAAATAATCTCAACAATAAAATGAGTAGAAAAAATTGTCCTGGATAATGACAAAAATGTTAGGCATTGTCCTAAACTTACCTTCCTACGTGCAAGTAATAACAATCTAATAAATTTTCAGAATACAACTCATATTTGTCAGTGATCTACAAATTTGATATATAGAATAATATAAAATATATGTCTAAAAAAAAATAATGATATTTAACAATAATTAAGTTATCATAAGATCATATTTATTGATTTTAATTAAATATTCCTATCACTCTTATAATTTTCAGGAGCTAAAGGGATGTTGGATTAAAGAACAATAAGACCAAAAGTAAATTCAAGAGTTGGATCTAAATGTGAGGAGTGTTGAAGGATCTTTCAGTGATTTGGTTCCTGAGGATAGAAGCAGATCGGCTTAAGATGTTCATGTACCAGCCAATTTGTGTCAGTGTCTACATATGAAATAAAACTATTTACATATAAAAGAAATTCTAACTTGATAATAGGTCTGTGGCTTGAGTCCACTTGGATAAGATGTGATACAGTAATTGTGAGAAAAAAGTGAGACACATATGGTTTCAATTGTCAATAAGCATGACAAAGAGAAAAGAAATGAATGACTCTTTTGTTTTTTTCGGTAGCTAGGTTAGATAAACATCAAAGTCACACGCATAAATTTACTGTTTGTTTGAAAAGACCTATAATCTTACAAGTTAAGTTACACAATTTTTTTAAACGAACGTCACTATCAGATTCTTCGGACTTTCACTTCCTTTTCTACTCTACCTGACTTAGGTTTTGTCACTTTCTAATTCTGCTCTTACTTCATGTGATTTAGCTCATGATCAGTTATTTTATATTGCACGGCCTGCTATCCCCATACATTGAATATAAAGGCATCCTTTGCATCTTTTGTAAATTTTATAATTATTTCATAATTAAGGTTTGAGTAATGATATTTGTATCGAAAAATTAAGCATAATTATTAGCCCTACTATAATATAAGAAAATGAAACTCTCCAATTCCTTATCTCATTCATGAATGACCGATTAGTTATAAGTATGCCTAAACAAAAAAATTGGATTATTTATGTGTAAATTTGGATAATAAATTTTTATTATTTTATATTTTTTGTGTAAAAATATATCCCTTAATAATAACCCATCAGTGTTATGCCGGGACCCCACATAATTTTTACGTTAATGGAATGAGGAAGAGGAAGGAGAAAGGAAATATGTTGATGTAGTTATGTAAAAAGGTTGTGTAAAATACACAACAATTTTACACATTGGTGACGTGACAGTGTATCTTAACATTTTGAGTAAAATTTACACTGTTATTGTGTAATTTTTTTTTTTTTGTTTTTTTTTTTTTTTTTTCAGCAGTCTGTTAAGTTACACTGCCACGTTACCAATATGTAAAATTATTGTATATTTTACACAACCTTTTTATATAATCACATCAACATATATATTTTTTTTCCTTCCTATTACTCATTCCATTAATGAATCAACTCTATATTAAGTAAGTTTGAAAAAATTATGTGGAGTCAGTTGATTGTTATTGGGGAATATATTTTTACACATATAAAACAATCACTGGAACTAAAAATAAATAGTCCAAAATTTTTGTGTAACAAAATAGTGTTTTAGCAGTATTTACACATCAAACATGCTGTGTATATTACACAAAAGAGTGTTTTAACAGTATTTAATATATTGCTGGAGAAGCTCTTATTTTATACCTTTTATATAAAAATGTAAAAACCTACTTAATATATGTAAAATACATAATAATTTTACACATTTATATATCTTAATAGACTATACTAAAAATAAAAAAATAATAATAATTACACATTATATATTATAATGTATATTTTACACAAAATAATATTTTAACAGACGGGCTCCGACGATTCTCTAACAATATTGTCCAACTTTTGGGTTCAAATATCCGTTTTCAGTGCACTTTACATTGAATATAGGGAGATAATGCCAATGCTTCATGTAGACCATACATTAAAACCCTAGGTCATGGTTGATGTCATCTACATATCAACTTCACAGCCTTTCCTTGTCTAGGTTGAATATAATATGGAGCTACTTGTAGGATCTACTATATAATCTTGGGACTCAATCCGATGGATCTGATTTGTACATGCTCCATCAGAACATTGAAGAGAAAGTTAAAAACCTCATGAAATTCATCATTATAGGCAGACAATCCACTTTGTCATATGGCATTCCATTTTCTTGATCCTGAAATGTTGAAGATGCATCTTGTGGATGATTTCTTGGTTTATAGCTATTCTCACGACATTGGGATGAGGTTGGTTTTGGGCCTAACTCAGAGCAAAGTTTGCATCTCCTTTTTTGATCTGAACAAGCCCATATTTCCAAAAACATGGCAAATGACTATCTAAATCTATACTATTATTAAAAATAAAATTTCAAATCATCATTAAAAATAAATTACCAATTAAAATAAATCTATTATATCCTAAAAAGTTACCAATTAAAATAAATCTATTATACTCTAAAAAAATTACCAATTAAAATAAATCCTATTATACTTAGAATTCAGGGACTAAAATAACTAAAACAAGTTACCAATTAAAATATATATACTATTATTAAAAATTACCAATTAAAATAAATCCTATTATACTTGAAATTCACGACTAAAATAACTAAAACAAGTTACCAATTGTTACCAATTAAAATATTTATACTATTATTAAAAGTTACCAATTAAAATAAATCCTATTATACTTGTAATTCAGGACTAAAACAACTAAAACAAGTTATCAATAGAAATTCATCGGGAATAAAACAACTAAACAAATTATCAATTCCTTCTCTCTTTGTAATTGGTGTTCAGATTTTTCTCCCGGAAGGCGGCAATCGTATTTCATCTGGTAAGTTTATTAGGATTATGTTTTTCTTCTTTAATTTTAATTTTTATTTTCTCATAAGCACCATGAAAGTATTTTATTTTTTATTCTTTGTTTAATGTTTGATTGGTGACAATTGACAACAATGGTTGATCTTCTAAATTTAGTTTGCATATAGAAAAATAAATAATTGTAAATGCAAAGTTATGATTTTTAATTAGATTTCTGCTACCTTTTCTATTCCATACAAAATTGGATTTAAAAAAAAAAATCAATATGTTACCTTTTCTCTGTTATGAATTTTTTCAATTCATTTTCTCTATTTTTAATTTTTTTAATAATTGATTAGTACCCTTTTCTCTATTATAAGATTTTTTAATAATTGATTAGAAACTTGACAATAAATTAAAAATTTTAAGTAAATTGATTTTTTTTTAAAATTTTTTAATTTCTCTTATCTCTTTCCAATCTGGGTTGGGTAATTGATTAGCAACTTGATAAATTTGGCTTCTCTTCTACCAGTACAATTAATTTTGTCCAAGCATATAAAAACTATTTTATTTATGCTTGATTATTGTTTACTTTAGTTTTGGATTATAATTACTTTTTACATATTAATTTTATTAACACATAATTACATTATTTCTGTTTGATTATTGTTTTGTTTAGTTTTTGGATCACAGCTAATTTTACGTATAGAAGTTACATTATTTCTATTGATTATTGTTTATTTTACTTTTGGATCACAATTATTTTATTATTAATTCTGCTTGACTATTGTTTATAAAATTTATTAATAAAAGAAATAATAAAACTAAACTCTTACAAATATATATTTATAATGACTTTATAAATATTAAATATTAACTATTTAAAACGTGTGATTTTACTAGAAATATTAACATGGTAAAAAATTTCAGACTTTCATATTAATTGGCCAAAATAAAGTTGCTAATTACGTAGTAGTTATTTATAAAATAAAATTTTTATTATAAATTAACTTTTAAATTTTGACCACGTGTTTTTTACTAGTCTGTTGATATGCACATGTAATTTATTTCAAAGGGTAATTTACAGTGACTTTTCATTATTTTTGTGCAAATTATATTCGGAGAGATTGATTGTTTTAGCATTTATTACTTTAAATTCTCTTTAGATTTGGCACAGACCAAATTTTATAATAAAATGACAATTTTGCCATTCTATTGTATAAAATGCAATATAATATATTATTATAATATAGGGGTATTATTAATTTTTCACACTCAAAATCACTTTTGGACAACATGTGAATGGATTTAGGAGAGATCAAAGCAATAAATATTGAACGGTCTACCTGTAATGTGCCCAAATTCTAGAGGAAGTCAATATAATTTATCAATATTAAATAAATGTATAGGCTGGTTCCAATTATGACCAGCATTTTTCATGTTATTAACTTCTTTGAAGTATACATGATTAGGTCAACTCATAAAGCTAATGTTCCATTTGGTAAGGGAAGCAACTGGAGGGCATAAAAGGAAAATTAGGTATAAACTTTCCATTAGTTGGTCGGAAGGTTGAGAGAAGGAAGGATATAGAAGGAGAGCACTATATTGTTTCAAGCCCAAAAGTGGTCAAAAAAAGGATGAAATATACTCACCAAACTGCAAGAAACCAACATTCTCCGCGTCCGCCTCATAATTGATTTCTACCCTACCTCATCATTCACTTGATACAATGGTTGAAAATCAATCCCTATAGATCGTGCTTTAGGAGGTGAATTCAAAACACATCATTCACTTGATTGAAAATCAATCCCAATAGATCGTGTTTTAGGAAGGGAATTCAAAACACGAGCACAGCGATTTACTAAGTAATGTCTTGTAAATAAAGCACCATCAAAAAGGCTCTAAACCTTTCACTAGAAAGATAAAAAAGTAATAACCTTTTACAAAATTGTTGATAATTAATGTATGAGTTTAGGTGAAGAAATCTCTTTATTATTTCTTTTTTAAAATTTCTGTTCTAGACTTTTGTCATTTCTGTTTTTATTTTTATTTTTATTTATCATGACAAGAAATTCATACATTTATTTCTTTCACTTTTGTCCTTTTCTTAATTGAGAAAACGCTACAACAATTGATCTATATTTTCATTCTTCGAACTTTGACAAGTTATAGACGATAAACCAATCAACGTTTATTAATTTGAATAATTTAAATACTGTCACTTTGATAAGAAATTTAGTTTCCTCGTGCGTCGTCCCATAAGGAATTATTCAAATTTAGTTACCTTGTAGGTCCCATTATGGATTTGATAAGAAATTATTCAAATTTAGCTACCTGGGTCCATTGTGACTATGATAAGAAATATATAATTTTTTTAATCATTGAGTGTGAAATTTTGCCATATTTTTGTCTTTGATTACTCCACTTGACCAATGTCTTAAACTCTTGTATTGCTCTCCATAACGGACTAAGAAATATTGGAAGCAGCAAGATTCCTTGTGGTATGCTACTTTTGACCAGCTATGTGGATGTTCAGACCTGAAGGTGGCCGTCAAGAGAAACTACTTTTTGTTTTTGCTGTTGGTTGGTTGCTCGTTGATATGTCAGCTTTTTTCTGTGATGGCGTGTTTTCTACATACCAGAACCAAGATTGCACTCTTCAATATATAGTAATGGATTAGGTACCATCTCTCTCTCTAAAAATATATCTATATATATATGTGTGTGTGACGAATGTGTGTTTGTGTGTGTGACGACTCTGTCTTTTACTGTGTTGTGGTTTTACTTTTCTTAGTGGTGCCTTTTCTCAGTTAACTTGTGTGCTTCAGGGATTGTAAAAGCTTAGTAGTTGATTGGCGCTCTGTTTCTGTCTCTGTTAGTGTCTACAAATTCTGGGTTTGTCTTGTCTTTTTTTTTTTTTTTTTTTTTGGTTTGTTTCTCTCTCTTGATCATATTCTAATCTTATCTATGAAGAAACAGTGCTGAGGTTTGAATTGTTCCCATAATTGGGTTTTGTGCAAAAGAACTTTTAAGGGCTTGTAAAAGCTTAATAATTGGATTGGTGTTTTGTTTCTGGTTATTTTAGAGTCTACAAATTATGGGTTAGTCTTGCTTTTTGTGGGGTCTTGTTTCTCTGTCTTGGTGATATTCTATCTTATCTATGAAGAAACAGTACTGAGGTTTGAATTGTTCCCATAATTGGGTCTTGTGTGGAAGAACTATTATGTGTTCGGAATGTCAGTACTGTTCATCTACAGAGCTTCTAATGAACTATCATCTGCTGATTTACCGAAAAAGTCCGAAAAATTCGGTGAAAATTTGATTTTTTGGTCCAGAATTCAATAGATTTAAGGGAATTTTTATTGTTTGAGAAGTGGGTTTTGGCCATTTTGATTCTTGGAGAGCAGAGGAAAGGGCTTCTCTTCTTGTTCGGCTCTTCACATCGCGGTGTAAGGCTTTTTAATGCTTTATTCTTTATCCAAATGAACACCTACTGAAATCAGTTAATTTTGATATCAATTTTGTGTATTGCTAGTGATCAATTTGCTACCAATTATCTACTTTTGATGTCTTATATATCAATGCTATTATATTGAAAAACTTGTGATACAAAAGTGTTTTTCTTTTAATATCCAACTCGGACTATTTGCTCTTATCATAATTATCTGTAGGAATTGATGTGACTTAGGTTGGCTTTTATGTACATAAAATTATATTCCCGTTAACAATTTTAGGATTTGCTTTTATCTCTTTTTTGGCAAACGGTCTGACCTTTTGTGGTGGAAATTTTAGTCTTTAAAATTTGATAAGAAAAACTCGTAAATTCATCGAAATTTTGTAGAGATCAGTATGGATCGATCCTTGTGAGGTATAATCTATTCATTGAATTTCTATTGCGGTTTACCTGTTGTATATGTATGTCTCTAGGTATTCTTTGTCTAGCATCATGTTTGCAAATGTTTGGGTGCTGAGAATTGTTCAAATTGCTGCAACTGCATAAAGCAATACTGAAACATAATATTTAATGGTATATCTTGCTGTCGAGAAAGAAAGAAAACATGAGTTGTGTCTGGGGCACCCCGTATTATGCGGTGTGAGTGCGTTTTTAAGCATCGGATTTATCAAGTTGTGGAGCACAGCACTGGGGAGTATCGTTAAACGTTTTCAAATTTGATATTCTTCTTCTTTTAAGATAAAATAATGTATATAGTATTAGAGTATTCAGCATAAAATGTAACAAAATGATGATAATAAGGGAGATTTATGCACGATTATGTATATACTTGAATTATCGAATATGCTTGCCGGTATATGCTCAACCAGACACGTCGGACATGTATTCTGTACCTGTATACAGGTATCATGTGTTCAATGTAGGTACTTAAGACATTTAGAAGAGTCCATTTAACAAAAAAGGGGCATCCGTGTTTTACGAATAAAGCTGAATGTTTGGGTCATTCCCCGGTTCATCCCTCCTAGCAACTCAGATTGTTGAGGCTAGAAGCCTAGAACTGGATATTGTTAATCGCTATTAGCTTGCTTGCATAGGCCACTTACTTTCTTTCAATCTTTCTTTTTCTTCTCTCTCTCTGAACTTTTTTAGTAGATTACTCTACTTAGACTCGTGAGGGATTCTGAGTTAATATTCAAGCATCAATTGAGGGGTCAAATGAGTAAAGAGTAAGAGAAACGAGTCAATCAGATCAGATTACCTACAAGTAAAGAGTCAATCGGATCACTAGAAATTTGGATCTGAAACTAGTATTTTCTCTCCAGATGAAGGTCTAGAAGCCATTGTGCACCAGTGCACAACTTTTGGGAGTGTTTGCACCGTACAGGTTCATAATGCACTCGTCGACTACTCTTTGGTTTGCCCTGTAGCACTCTTTAGAAGACTGTATCCAAGATCTAACTTTTCAGGCTTAGTTGAGGGCAAACAAACTTGAATTATTGAGTCTAGTTTTTGGACATATAAAGATTATTTTGAAATTCTTAGTTCAAAAGACTTTATGACTCGAAAGGTTGAGGGTCATATTTCAACTACACTCAACACCCTATGTGGATATCGATTCTGGGCCAACTCCAGACATCTTGTAAGTTTTTCAAGTCCTAAAAAACACATTTTAGATTTGCAAACACTTTATAATTCATAAAAGCTATCCTGTCAATTAGGATCAACCAAGTTAATTATCCATTTTAATCCGAAGGTTCACTCAATCAAACTTAACTTGTCCTAATTTGCATGATATTTAGTTTATTAAGGCACTTAATTCCATATTACATTTCTATCTCCATGTATTCCTCGACAAATGTCTTAAACCACATCTCTTTCAAGCAAACTAGAAGGCAAGTCAACATGACTAATTGCCAACCTAAACAAAACAAAAACAATTCAACTCAACTCGACCCTACCAATACAACAGATGTTTTGATCAGGGAAATTACCAACACAATGACCTCTAATTCCTAACACTTATTACATGAGAATGTTCTGTGAAATGTATCTTGAGATGACACATTGGCATTGCCTAATACTCATAAAAATACATATATCAGACTATTTATAAAATTTCATGTAAACAAATGCATAAATTTAACCTTTTGATTGTTATTAACTGGCAGATTATTTTGGATGGGGACAGAACTTACTGAAGTTGTGGAAGAACTGCCATGTCCTGGTGCTATAAAGGTATAACATGTTGGGGTAGTTTCTTTCTTTTCCAGTTCTGCTTGAATGTTTTCCACTTTTATGTAATATAACAAGTGATTTTGATCCAGATGTGATAACACAATGATATCTGATAATTTAATGTTAACCAATATGGAAGATAAATCATTCATATATGTCCATGGGCAAAGCCATCTATATGCCTAAAATTTCTATTTTTTTTCTTCTTAAGAGCGAGATAGCTTAATGTTTTTTTTTCTTCTTAAGAGCGAGATAGCTTAATGTTTTAGAGCAATTGATTTGTAACAACCATAATGCTATTTGTCACTATCTCATTTGTTGTATTCCATGAATGCAGGTGCATTATGTGATGTGTATAGAACTATTGAAATTGGTCGAGAGAATCTTAAAGATATTTCCAGAAATAGAAGCAGCTCGTCCCCGATGCTCATCAGGAATAGAGGTGCTTTGCTTGTTGAACAATGCAATTGGAAAAGCCAAGGCATTGCTTCATCAATGCAGCGAGTCTAGTAAGCTCTACTTGGTTGGTATCTTAAACACTTCCACTAAAGTAGTTAGATATTTTAAAAGTTTTAACTGCATGTCACCCATGTGAAATTGAAATCATCATTTTGGACACACCTGGTATTTTATATTGGTTTCAGCTCCTAAAAGACTTAACTTATAATAAAAATTTTAGAATATTAATTTAAAAAGTTGAAATACTTTGGAGTTGCATTGTTGGCCAAATTTTGTAAATTTAGTGAGCAGACACAGTACCGAACCATAAAGGCTAATGACTATATCCTAGAGATGATTTTTAACACAATTTCAAAATTAAGAACTGCATGCAGTGATTATTTGGTTTGAGGAGATGTCAAAGGAGAGGTAAGGTTCGAAAGAGATATTGCAGTACTTTGTGGTTCCATGAGTTGTGGTGAAATCAGATTAGGTTTTTACAAAAGCTAGTGGTCTAGCGATGCTGCTTCTTTATGTTCTGCTTGTAGCTGAGCTGAGGAGATCCTACAGATGATTTTCTAAAATTGGTTTCCAGCAAAATTAATAAGAAGATGCAATGATTAGTTTGACCAATGGAAAGAGAGGGAATGCTGAAAAGAGATACTGCAGACCTATGTGGTTCCACAATTACCAATGAAATTAGAGTGGGATGTTGCAATACTAATGGTCTGCGTGATGCTTTTTGTTTTTAATCTCACTATAAGCCAGCAAAACCTTTGCTTAGGAGGTTCTTGGAAGGCTTTATGACCTCTTCTACTTAAATAGTTTCATTTGATGCCATAAGTTCATAACCTCAGTTTCTGATTTTTCTAAACAGAAAAAGCAAAAACTTGGAGGAAGAGAGTAAGAGGAATGATTGTCATTTGTTGTTCCCCCTTACAAAAGATTTAAGGGACAGAAAATAAATAAAAAAGAAGAAGTTAAAGAAAAATAAAATCAGAAAACACATAAAAAAAATAAAAATAAAATAGTAAAAAGGAAGTAATCAGACACCCGCCCAAGTAATGAGTCAGTACTTGGGGGGGGGGGGGGGGGGGGGGGGGGGCGAGCTTAGTGAATGGCTATGATATGATCTAACACGGTTGTTAAAGCCCAGGGTCTCGATGTGGACCTGAGGAACCAAATGACCTTCTCTGACATAGGAAGGGCCCATCTTTGTATGGTGAGCTCGCCAGACATTGCCACAAATGTCATAATGTAATTCAGCAATGGTGTATTAGGCATGGTCATTTCCCAAACCCCACCATACTAGGTATACATTGTGACACAATTATGATATGGATTCCAGTGGAATAAATCACTACACGTGGCCAACTGCTGAGGATTCCATATGAATTGGTGGCTTGGATCGAAGATTCATCAAAATGTAACTTGGAGGCAAGGGAATGTACAAAAAGGAAAAGATGTATTCTTGGAAGTCCTTACATACATGATGACTGAATACCAAGGGGGAGGACACGTGTAGCTCAGAGATAAAATCAAGGACAATATAAATTAATTGGGATGTGTGTAGGATGCTCCAAATGAGAAAATGGGTCTCTTAGCTCTGTTGGATGGCAGTTTTACTATTCTTGTGACATTACAATACCTCTCTCTCAAAGAAGGTCTAAGTTTACTGCCGAGGTCCTCCCCTAAGGTATCCAGCTTAGGTCTTCACCAATCCACAGGTCTTGACCTCCCTTTCTGCTGAAAGTTGGCCTTCAGTGTGACAAGTTTCTCCTCTCAATCATTTGGACACTCTACATGCCATTATGTGGAGGTTTTTCCTTTATGGAATATTTGATCGTTGCATAGACAATGATGTGACTAATAGTTTTTATCTCTCCATTATATACTTAATAATGTAATCAAATATTGATACTGCTTCACGCCATATTTTCAGGCAATAACAGGGAATGCAATACTGTCAAGATGTAAACGATCAAGGAATTTATTGGAGCAAAGTTTAAGCCAAATTCAAAGTATGGTTCCAGTAGTGTTAGCTGTGGAGGTTAGTCAAATTACATGTCCTTCTGAATTCTTTATTTCTTCTTTACTTTTTTTTTTTTTTTTTTCATTTTTCTTGGACAGGGTGGGTGGGTGAATGTACACGAAATAATGTGACAAGAAATATAAATTGCTGCTATTATGTGTTTGATGAGCATTGTCTTGGTAATGCTTAACATAAATATTAGGGTATCACTTCCCTTGTTTACCAATATGGAATTTTAATATAGTATATCTTGTTTTCTTTGTATTTCTACTATGTTACTTCTTTCTGTAGTCCTTTCTTTCTTTAAGCAATCACTTGAAATTGAATTCATTTTGGTCTAATTCTGTGATTGGTTAAATAACTTAAATGTGTTGACTTGGTTATAAGCTTCTTTATGTTGACGTGTCCTTATCCACATTGTCCCATTTCCCTGATCTATTTTTATCCCCTCATGTTTCATATCAAAGCACACTAAGAATTTGCTGCTGAATATTTAAAAGCACATTGAGATATTTTTGTTGAATGTGAAAATTTATGAACTTTGAAACTTTAAGTTGAATTTTCAGAACCAGAGAATAAAAATTGTATTGTGAAAATGGGAGCTTCTAGTGCAGCATGCAGTAAAAGATAAATAGCTGCAAGGCATAAGTATAGTCTTGTGGAACTATGTATTTTTCTTATTATTCCCAAAAGAAACTTGGGAACATTAAAAAATTCAACCAATCTTTTTAGGTTTATGCTCTACTGGTAAAGTCTGCCTCATTTTAATTTGCACATATAGGACAAATGTTCCCATTCTTTTTGCTCTGACTTTCTTTTTTCTTTTTCAATTCATTCCATGCTTTCCACCAAATATTTGATGCATTTATCTATATTTCATTTCCTATTTCGCAATTCCACTTTATTTAATTTTATAGCCTCAGTTAAACCTTATGCTATAATACGTTTTCTGAATATCTCAACTCATGTTAGTTCTGATTTTCCCTTTCCCCTAGCATTATCTTATATCATTTTTCCTAACTGGTGCAGTTATTTGTCGCTGGATATGTCCAAATCATTTTAATTGATTTTTTTCTCATTTTATCTCCAATAGTTTCTACTTTAACCATTTCATGACTTTAATCATTCGTAATTTATCCTTCATGTCTTGCACACATCCATCTTGATATTCGCATCTCCGCAACACTTAATTTGTGCATTTGTTGTTTCTTAGCCGCCCAATATTTTGTGCCGTAATAAATGGCTGGTTTAATAGCAGTTATATAGTTACACATTGGTCACACAATATGTTAGAAACACTCCTCTATTTAATCCATCCTGCTTCAATTCTATGATTAAAATCGCCGCTAATTTCTCCCCTCTTTGTGCATAATCAAGCCTGGATAAAGAAAATATTTGCCTTTAGTTTTTCTAAACAGTAATATTTGCCTTTAGTTGTTAACATTGTCCACACTTTATGAATCAAATCAGTAAAAGTCCTAATTTTTTGTAAACGTCTTCTTGAAGCTCAAATTTTCAGTCTTGAGATGAATAACAAGTCAACACATTTTCAAAGTTGAACAATTCCTGTGATATTCATTTAATCTTCTAGGAATTTGAAGAAAAAATCTTTATATGTAATTTTTTTTAATTCAATTTAATGCACATATTATCTAGGGGTGGCAAATGGGCAGGTTGGGTCGGGTTTGTGCAGGGTCAAATATGTGCGGGTCGAATATAGGTTGTGACCCATATTCAACCTGCTTGTAACGAGTTAAATATGGGTTGGGTGAACTGGGTCAGGTGAACCCGTCATGACCCGCCAACCCGTTTTAGGAAGAAAAAAAAGTTACTATTTTGGATAATATCATTATTATAGTTTTTTATTTTTATTTTAGATGGATAAAACTTGTAAAAATATGTATGGATAATTGTAATCCTCTAATTTATTTTGGAAATTCTTTAAATTTATATTATTTTATTTTTTGACTAGACATGCATGAAGGTAATCTGTTAAGATTTTTATAGAATAAATAATTAAATGAATAAATCAGGTCATCCTACTTTGAAATACATATGTAAATATAGGTTTCTTTCGAGCTGTAGGATTACATACACGGGGAGTCCATGATGCAGAGAGAATTTTAGAAAGGAAGAGGTGAATTTGAGTCAAATAGAGGTTGTGAAACTGGGTCTCTTATATAATGGGTGAAATATGGGTGACCCAACCATTTAACCCACTATAAAAATGGGTTGAATATGAGCCACCCATTTTGACCCATATTTTAAAATGGTTCACCCATATCCATTTAAAAGCGGGCGGATATGGGCGGGTTGGTGGGTTATGACCCATTTTGCCACCCCTAGTATTATCTGAAGACTTTGCTCCCCATGCAAAACCAGTGCACTGGCATTGGGTACCTGCATCATATGTGCCTCTTCTATTAGCCTCCAATGGTGAAGAGGTACCATAGATGGTCCATTTATCCTTCATTTCTTCAATAAGTATACTTTTCCCCCCTATTAGAATGCATTTGCTAATGTAGCTATCCTCTCAACCTATATGACGTTGAGATATATGTGTAATTTGAACCATGTAAAGTAGAGTGGCATGTTCTGGTTTTTGACTGCACAAAAATAAAAAAAGTAGAAATAAGGTCACAGAATCCCTAAGAATATTAGGTTCAGTGATGTGTTTAAATTTGTGATTAACTGTCATTTTCAGATCTCTCATATAATTGGTGACCTTAAAGCTGCAACGTTTACCTTGGACTCTTCTGAAGAAGAGGCTGGGAACGTTTTGCTAGCATTCTTCCAGCAGTATGCATCCTCAACAGACTCAATAGAAAAACTTGCAATTGAAGCTATTCAATTTGCAGCTTTGAGACTTCATATTACATCCCAAAAGGCTCTTTTGATAGAGAAAAGATCCATTAGGAAGATGCTCGAAAAAGTTGGCGATGGTGATCTGGGAAAGAAGCAGATCTTGTTATGCTTTATGAATCAGCTGAAGAAGTATGGACAACTAATTGTGAGAGCACAAACAGAGAATGCCAGTGTACATCATGAAGAATCTTTTCCATTTGCATCCTCTTGTGACCAATCTGGTGAAGTGGAATCTCGAGCAGAATATGGGTGTAATGTGGCTCAAGCTGACTTGTTGAGTACAGCCATACCTCCTGACGAATTTAAGTGCCCCATATCTTTTAGATTGATGTATGATCCCGTTGTCATTGCTTCTGGGCAAACCTTTGAAAGGATGTGGATACAGAAGTGGTTTGATGAAGGTAACGATACATGTCCAAAGACTGAAAGGAAGCTGTCCCAGTTGTCATTGACACCAAATACTAACATGAAGGACCTTATTTCAAAGTGGTGTATGATGCATGGAGTCACCATTCCTGATCCGTGTATACAATCAGCGGAGGTTCAGTCCTGGGAAACTTCTTTCACTTCCATTGCTAGTTTGAGCAGTTCTATGAATGATATACGGCTTCCAATGGATTTCAGCAATGTATCGCTCGGTTCCTCAGATACTAGTTACAATTCAGATTCCTCACGTGTTAGAATCACAAATGGTTTTAACTTGATTTCAGAGCAGACCAAGGATGATTCTCACAGTATTCAATCTTATGCAAATACATGCGAAACAATTATGGAGTTTTTATCCAAACTTGATGCACTTTCGTGGGAATCTCAATGCAAGGCTGTTGAAGATGTCAGACACTATTTGAACCATGATGATCAAGCTTGTCATTTGCTGTTGCTTGAGAATTCTGTCAAACCACTTATTAGGTTTCTAAAGGACGCACATGACCTGCATGATGTAAAAGCTCAGAGAACTGGATCTCAGTTGTTGTTAGCATTTGTAAACAAATGCAGGTAATTTCTTCTTTGTTGTTAGCAGGTTCCTTACAAATGCAAGTAATTTCTTCTTTGTTGTTGGTAGGTTCTAATTATACTGATGTCTGTAGTTGTAACCAATGGCATCCCTTGTTTTATGAGCATTTAAAATTTTAAATTCATAGTACATTGATTGCTTATATAAATATTTCAAAATGATGTTGAACATGTCCAAGTTCCTCCCAACTTGAGTTTTATTGGGTCGGGAATCACTTGAATTGACTTGCTAATTAGAGATGGAATGTAATTTAGCTCAAATTCTAGTGTGGTTAATACTTATGCCTGTACAAAATATAAATATGTTGTTGCTACGTTGCAACTGTATAACTGCTTCTTTGAACCATAAATTAGTTTTTAATTTACTGTGCTAACTGCTGTCCTTTTTTATTGATACAATTCATGCTATCTAAACTTCTATATGTGGTTTTTGTGTATTGTTTACCATTATGTGGGAAAACTATGAAACTTTTTCCAGTCCATATTAATCTACAATGGGTTACTTTATGCAGAAGCAGGATACCATACTTAAATGAAGATGCATATGGCCTATTGGCATCACTTCTTGATTCAGATCTAACTGAAGAAGCTCTTGCTATAATGGAGGTGTTATCTTGCCACCAATATTGTAGATCTAAAATTGCATCATCTGGAGCACTTACTTCCATTGTAAAGTTAATCGACACCCAGATCAGGGAATTCCAGGAACCAGCCGTTAAAATACTATATAATTTGTCCTCAGACAGTGATATTTGTCCCCTCATTGTTGCTTCAAAGTTCATCCCCAACCTGGTTCCTCTTTTTGAAGATACTGCTCTTGCAAGATACTGCATAACCATTTTGAAAAATTTGTGTCATAATGAAGATGCTAGGGTTTCTGTTGCTGAAACTGATGGATGCATTGCTTCTATTGCTAAAATACTCGAGACTGACAGTCGTGAGGACCAGGAGCACGCGGGGGCTGTTCTCCTTTCTTTGTGCTCTCAACGTGATCAATATTGTCAACTGGTCATGGATGAGGGTGTAATTCCTGCCCTTGTCAGTATGACTCTAAATGGGAATGACAAAGGGAAGACAATTGCAATGGAACTGCTTCGACTATTGAGAGATATCGAATATAGTTACCCACAAGAATTCTCTGGATCTGATCTTGTTTCCTATATTGATTCGAGCGACCACCGCAAAGAGAGGAAATCATCTTCCAAGACATCTGTTTTTTTTGGAATGAAACTATCACTATTCTCTAAATCCACTTCTTTGGCACCAAAGAAGAAAAAGTAAAACTTGGATCTATATCCCTTTTTTAAACCCTGCGGTGACCCCATCACTCATCAAGACAAATAGCGTAGAACATGCCCTGGTAAGATATTCTGCTTCTAACCCAATGGGCTTTTATGTTTATCTGGAAGAGAACATTGATATCATGGCAATGCTGATATACTTAGTGGGTGAGTGGTTATGTTTTCTTATAATACTAGTTCCCAACGTGCTTTATGTTTTAGCTTGATTAACCACTTAGGATATTTCTGCAGGAGTTTTGCATATTTACACTTGATTAGAATGTATAGTTTTTAGGTGGTTGATTTTTTAATCTGATGTTCTGAATAGAGTTTTATTCTTTAATGCATTATAAGTGCACTACTATTGGTGCATATTTTTGTAAAGTTATATACTGATCTCATTTGCACAAATTTTTCTGTTTTTTCCCTCTCTTTTCTATGTTTTTGGTCAATCATTCAGCCATATCATATACCAACATTTAGAGTTCAGCAGTATGAGTCATGCTTCATTGTTTTAGCCTGTCGAACTGATAATTTGTAGACTGCTGCTACTACACTAACTTGTTATTTGTATTTTTCTTTTTGGCAAACCGAGTTTAGTGAATGTTGTAGTGACCAACAGGCCAGTGGCCTAGCGGTACCAAGCCCCTACTTCTCAAAGAGAGGTTAGGAGTTCGAGCCTTAGTGGAGGCATGTGTGTGTGAGTACCAACTAGGAAAAAAAAAATGTTGTAGTGGAAACAACATGAACTGAGAGTCTCTTGAAGCAAATACAAGTAATATATTCTGTTGACACAATTCCTAACATTCATGCTATACATTTTGTCATAAGAAATCTAAGGTGACTTCTTTTTTTTTTTTTCTTCTTTGGGGAGGGGGTTTCTTGCAGCCAGAAACCAACCGAGGTGACAAAGAGCTAATATCACTTACTAAAATGCAACATATTCCCTCTCCTCTTTATTTCAAAACAGCTAATGCAAAGTGAACTGCTTGCTACAAAATGTATGAAAATATAAATTTGAGGCTTATGATTATTGGTGCTTTGATTTCCATAAAATGAGAAATTCATCTAAGTCATTGAATAAGGTTAACTAATGCGTTCTGGAAATGAGAAAGGATACTAATTTAATTCATTGTATATAGTCAGTTGTTTGACTTTTAAAATAATGAAAGATCATCGGCAAGACTCATTATTATTTATTTTCTGATTTGATTTTTATTTTTATGGTTTGGACATGTGCAAAGAAGACTTTTAAGTGCACCAGATAAGAAAAGTGACATAGTCCACATTGAGGGTATACTAGGGGAAGAGGAAGACAAAAGTTAACGTGTGTAGAGTTAGTAAGGAAGGATATGATAGCATGTGAATTAACTGAGGGTATGGCCTTAAATAGAGCGGAATAGAAACATAGGATTCTTGTAGTCGACGCCAAGTAGTTGGGAAAAAAGCTTGGTTGTTATTGTTATTTAAGTCACACATGTACCCATTTGTCCCATCCATTGGGAAGGAGGAAGAGACACCACTTGGGCTAAGCAGCGTAAGCCCTTGTGGTTTCTTTTCTAAATTTTTCTGGCAACTAAATGGATGGTATAATTGTTTAACCCGAACGAGACTTTGTTGTAACATTTTTAAAAATTAGACTTCAATATGATTTGGTTTAAGGTTTTTTTTTTTAGGATTCCTAGTCCACTCTCGTGGACAACAAAATGTGTTTCTTCACTTCATAATGAAAGAGATTGGAACAAAACTAGGCACATGCATACAAGACATGTACAATCTAACACTTAAATATACATACATTGTTGAAATCACTATATTTACTCATCCTTTACAAATTGAACATTTTAGGACTATATATTCGATCCGGTACTTTGTACGAACTAGCTGCCTAAAAAGATGCTGTCTTTTATTACTGACCCCAGCCAGCTTCGCGGTATCTTTACATGGAGTTGTTTCATCAGTGTTTTTATGCATTACAGTCTGGGGTCACTTTCAAACTTTTTTGTTTTATTGCTTGGCTCTTTGGGCATTGACCTTGGACTTGCCTTGAATTTTTTGTTTAGGTCATTACTACTGTAACAGTGGCACTGTTATCTTCTCTCTTTATGTAATTGCCACCGTTTTTACTCATTAATAATCTGATGGTAACCTGCGTGTCTTCAATTTTTAAAGTGCCTAGAAACTGTAAGAGTTGATAAGTTTTCCCCTCTCTAATTATGTTTTTCTACTGAATCTTGTATTTATATTTCTGAATGTCATCTTAATGTTACATTTGTTCTACTGTGTCTTGTTCTTGAGTCTCGTGTTAAAATTGAATAAAATATCTACCAACTTTTATCTTTATGACTATTGTATATGCATCTTTATGGTCATCTGTCTGTTTGTCACTTGTCTAGGTGATTAGATCAGAATCTTCACCTATAAATTTGAACTCTATTTTGAGTTGTTGCTGAAAATTGAAACTTCTTGAAAGAATTGAATCAGAAAAAGAAAGGACTAGTTTGGAGATTGTTATGTCTCTGATAGAGTAGGGAGATGCTTGTCAGCCATTTGAGTTGTCAATTCAAGATTGATGATGACTTGTTTTTAAAGGTTTTAGTATTGAAATGAAACTTCCCCTGTTCATGAAACTGATTGTGTAAAAAGATTCTATAGTAGACTACTTGCAAAATCTCAAATAGATTGTAGAGAAAATGAGCTATAGGGCTGAAACAGTGTCATGACCAGGTATTGGAATGGATATCATAGCTTCTTGTATGGTTATATACAACGTAGGGTGGAAGACGCACTGTTTAGGGGAGAGAGGATTGTTTGCCTAGAAGGTAAGCGACAAAGAGGGTAGCCAAAACTTACATAGGATGAAATAATTAGAAATTATTTTCAAAAACTAAATATTGGAAGAGACATGGTTTATAATATAGGAAAGAATGTAAAAGAGAATTCATGTGGCCGACACCATTCATAAGGCTTCTTGTAGTCGATCCCAAGTAGTTGATTAGTATACAAAAGCAACTGTACACCAAGGAAACTCCTCTATAATCATCACTTATCACTCTACCAAACTTGCAAAAAGTTGGTCTCTTAAAGCTCTACATTCAGCAACTGCTATTGGTGCTTTGCGTAGTTGTCCTGCAGGAGGTTCTCGATCTTTGATATTAGGAGATGCCATTTGATAAAACACCAAACTCATATATTGTTATAATTGTGTTGAATAGTAAGACTTCCTAGTTGCAAATCATTTTTTATACAAAAGATAACCATATAATAATATCAAATGTTAGGTTTTTCCTGTGTCCTTTTCTCCTGATGCCTCACTTAGCCGGACCGGGATTGGATAATGGCCTTTTATAGTGGAAGGGGGGTAGTTTATAGATTTTTCAAGATTTAGAAAAAGAGTTAGGTTTAGTACCACTAAAAGCAACTTGGTTTCAATGAATCTGATTACTGCAAATCAGGAAATGAAATATTTTCCACAACTTTACCATTCATTTTCAGGCCATCTTTTACCTCTTCGACTCTTTTAGTTTCAATGTGATTTAATTAACCACTTGTCTGTGGAATAAACTTTTAATTGCTGGTGTTATAGAATTGCACAAAATCAGTATTAGATTGCAGAATGAAATTATTTTGTTTCTGTTATTGTTTTATACTTTGAACGTGGACCGTCTGATGGATTGATGATCAGTGACTATGAAGAAAAAGACTGATGATGATCAACAAAAGGTCTGATATTGCTATTGTTATTTTAGATGTCAATATGAAGATGAATTGTAGTTCAGAAGCATAATTTTTTTTTCAGACTTGCTGTGGCTTTTGGTTTGTGAAGAGTTGCATATTAGTTTGAAACTAGAATATTATATATATATATATATATTGCCAAGTGTCAGGTCACCAGTAGATAGAGACCAATGGGTCGGTGGGAGACACTAGCCAATGGTGTGGGGTTGAGGAAAAATGGTGTTGAAGGGTAGTTAAGTGAGAGGTCTCTGCATGGCTTAAGAAAGCAGGAGACACCCCCATATGAAGATACTTCCAATTTTCCCCTACCCATGGTCTCCTACACCCCTCATCAACAAAGATCACTCAATTATTTCAAATATCCCTCAATCTCTCTTTATTCTCTCCACAAAATTATTATTTATTTATTTATACTTATTTTATTTTATTTTCTATTAAACTATGTTACATGGTCACTAGATCTTCATACTGCATCTATCTCCATCAAAGCCAGTGTGATCTTGTCCTTCTTGTACATACACACACACATTTTTTTCTTGGCAGGTTATGTGATCTCCAATATATATAGCAATCTCTAGTGGTTGATGTTTTTTATTTTCTTTTTTTCTTTTTTATTTTTTTAAAATTTTTAAAAAAATGGTTTGATGGTAAGTGGGTGAGATGAGAATGGGATTGGGTGGGGTTTGTTTTTTTGCTGCCTTGATTTGCAATATACCAACATAATCAATGCATATATTCCTCTTCATGTAAGCAAAATATTTTGATATATGAAATTCGTTCTTATACTTATCCCCAATACTCTTTCAAGATTTAATGTTTCTTGTTGAATGTTTAATCCCCTCTCTCTCTCTCTCTATCTCTCTTTCTCTCTCAACATTGCATGTGAAGTGAATGGTCTTCTCTCTTTTTTGTACTTGCCAAAATGATTGGTGTAACTGATGGTGATTGGATGATGTGAATTGTGATGGATTGGTAGATATTTCACAAAAATAACTACATGTGAATTGTGATGGATTGGTAGAGGACCCAGTTTGGTATCTGCTACTAAAACCTCAAAGTTATGTCTGGCTTGACCAATTATCAGGTCTTCCAAACAGAGGATTAGACTTCATTGGTTTGCTACCAAGTCCTTCACAGCCCCAAATATTAGTACTACCTCAGAACATCTTTTCCCCTTTCCCTTTTAGGGCTCCCAAATAATTTCTCACTTTTATCATAATCTTTCTAAACACAACTAAGTTACAATTGGGTTATAATGAAACCAAACAAACAATGTTAGAATTATATTCGTGCATGTCATGTAAATTACAGGAAAAATTAATATTAAACATAGTGCTACAATAGTTATTTATCAAAAAAAAAAAAACATAGCGCTACAATAGTAAACTAAGGCTTCAAAATAATCTAAGGATACAATGGAGGTGCAGCCATTTCTGGGTGCGTACCAGTTTTCACCTAACAAAAAAAAAAAGAGTAATACTAAAATTGATGGTTTAATTATGAAAAAAAATAATAATTGGTGGTTCGATTTTTTGTGCTACTTCGACAAGGACCCTTAATTAGTAATGGATAAAGATATAATAAATCAATTATAAACACATCAATCAATAATAATACTGAAATGGTATTAAACTTTCAATCATGCTCAATTTGATGGAATTATTTGGTCTTAAAGGAGATCTTCTATAATTTCACAAGTGGGGTTGTTTCTTGGTTTCGGCCTGTCATTAATAACTTGATTATTTTTAGATAATAGTAGATAGAAGCAACGCTTATAAGGAGTCCTATTGAAACCAAGAAATATCAATTATAAACACCTCAATTGATAATAATATTGATTGGGTCTTCTATTATTTTTTGGGTAAAGTGCAAAAAAAAAACCCTAACTATGTTTGAATTTGCAAATAATATATTTTGTGCATAATACTCCCTGAACTATCAAATTCTATTGCAAAATGTCTCAAAGTCTATTTTTCATTAAATGACCATAATGTCCTTTCTTTTTGAATTACACTTAATCTATTTTTCTTATTGAAATAAATTATATATAAAAAAACTCATACTATATTGATGACATATTCTCCATTAAATTTGCATAAATTTATCTTTAATTTTTTATATTAATTGTTTAAATAAAAATATTAAGTAGAAAACTTTAAAACAATTCAATTAATTTCTAATTTTTTTCATGAATATATTGCATGAACAACAAAAAGGTATTTTTTATTTAAGTAATTTATTAAATTTTCATGAATATTGTATCAAAAAGAAGGTATTTTTAATGGTAAAAAAAGTTTAAACTGAGTATAATAAGTTTTATTATAAATAGTAAAAATTTATTTATAAGTTAATCATATTAGAAAATATAATTACAAATCTTTTTTTTTTTTCATTTTTATGATTAATTGATACTAATAAGAAAATTATGGTAAATGGTATAATTAATATTTAGATAAGAGAAAACATAATAAAAATAATTTAATAAAAAAAGACATATTTAATGAGAAAGGGTAAAATAGTTTTTTTGTGATGGTTTTGTTCTTAATTGTAACAAATCAATAGTTCAGAGAGGTAATTTATAACAAGGTAGTAGTTTAGAGGGTTTTTTTTTTTTTTTTTTTTTTTTTGATAACCCAGTATATCCGTGGCTTCGCCCCAACTAATCTTCGAAGTGCCAGGAAGGGCTTCTCCCCACCCTGGGCCAGGTAAGTCACTAAGTATGGCAGCGGAGGTGTGGCCTCAAGTTGTCGTAAGCTCCTAGTGGGAATTAAACCCCTAGACTTTGGTGCTATAATCACCCAAGCGCAAGTAATTTTACCACTAAGCCACCCTTAGCGTTAATAGTTTTTAGGGTTGTTTGTAATAGTTTTTAGGGTTGTTCGCACTTTACCCTTATTTTGTGGGAAAGTTTTTTGTCATAAAGTTTTTCATAAATTAATTTTGAAGCTATTGATGCCTCCAACACAAGCAGCTGGAGTAGCTCAGCTGGTTAGAGCGTGTGGCTGTTAACCACAAGGTCGAAGGTTCAATCCCTTCCTCTAGCGTTTTTGTCACTACCCTCTTTTTTTTTTACTTCTCTCATATTGGGCCGGGCTGTTAAGAATCTAAAGCCCAAATCATTCCGTTTACGGGCCGGCCTTCTACCTAAAGCCCCAAAACTCCCAGTTTACGCACCTGAGACTCACTCACCACATGGTGGTGGTTACTTCACCGGTGAAGCGGGGACCACTATTCTCCGGGCCCACCTCTCTGGTTATGGATACATTCTCGATTTGATGGCCCTCTCGCACCTCCCTTTTCTCTCTTCTATCCACTCTCTCCCTCTTTCTCTATAAATCACTCCGGTTGTATACTCGTCTAGTGTGTCAGAAACCGGCCAACAACACTGAATAACACATTTTCGCCGGAAACTGTACGGACACGAGTGAGTAACTTCGGAGTTGTGAACCTACCAAACCTCAGTTCAACTAATCTCATCTAATGTCTCACTTTCACAGTTTGATCGACGACGAATTGGTGATTTCGGAGATCATCTCCGATCGCTCGATGAAGTCCGATCAGTGTTTCAGCCATGTCTTGTCGGATTTTGGCGATTTCCGACCAACCGGAACTGAATTCGTCGGAGATAGGACGAGTCATGCTCTTTCGGAGATTGCAACTAGTTCCACTGACATTGATCACTCCAATTCTTTGAATTCCGGCTATCCGGCGGCAGCGTCCAAAGCGACGGCCATGGAGGTGGAAGCAAAGCGACGACACTCCACTATGACAGAGAGACTGACCAGTAAAGATAGCTTCAAGAAGAGAAAAGCAGAGGTATGTGTAAATTGTTAGACTTGTAATTATTGTTTTGAAATTGAAATTCTAGGAATTAATGTATTGGGATTGAAATTCGAGAAAATTTAATTTTAATTTATTGAATTTGAAGTACAGCATGAAAAAATATCAATTCCATGTTACTTTTTTTTTTAAGCACCGATTTAGCATTTATTGTAATTTCTTAAGACACAAAGTTTTGACGAACTGAGACATAGATGCATGTTTAGTATATTAATTGAAATTCTGGAAAAAAATATCAATTCCATGTTACTTCTATGTTTTCAAAACCCAAATTTATTATCAAATTTGAATCTAGCTAGTCAAATTAGGGTGGTAGGGTATTGATTTGCCAAAAAAAACCTCAAAAAAAGGTTCAACTTGACCAAAAACCAATGAAAAGTATGATAATATTAGTAACAAGACTGTTGGTTTTATGCAGTTTGTTTTAGGAGAGGACTGTAAAGAAGAAATGGTTGAAGAAGAAGCAATGGAGGATGGTGAATCTGAGGTCACGGCTAAAAGTAACCGGGAAAATTCGGCTTCCGGGAACTCTTCCAAGGAGAACTCAAAGGTTTCTGAGGCTCCGAAGCATGATTTCATTCATGTCCGGGCACGTCGTGGCCAGGCCACAGATAGCCACAGCTTAGCAGAAAGAGTAGGTTTAATCATCTTTTAGGAAGAAAAAAAAGAAAGTATAATTTGACCATTTGTTGTTGAATTTAAAGTGATAAATATCCTTCTAACGTTGTTTGACCGCGCTCTAAGAGAGAGAAGATCAGAGACAGACCTAACATTTGACATTATTTTTGTTTACGATTACCAGGCCAGGAGGGAGAAAATCAGCAAGAAGATGAAATGCCTGCAAGATTTAGTACCAGGGTGCAATAAAGTTTCCGGCAAAGCTGGAATGCTCGACGAAATCATCAACTATGTTCAGTGTCTTCAAAGACAAGTTGAGGTATTATTGCCTAGCTTGTAGAATTTTTATTTTTTAATTTTTCCGAAAATTTAAGCAAACACACTAATGGTCCTCAATGTTCTTGTCATTTGTCAATTTCGTTTGTGAATACTAATATATATATATATATTTTCGTGGCAGTTCCTATCCATGAAACTTGCTACTTTCAATCCAAGTGTTGATTCCAACATGGATAATTTGTTCACTGAACAGGTGAGACTACAACATTCTGAAAATTACTGTGAAAAACATAAAATAAAATTAAAAAAAAAAAGGTTAAAACATTGAGATTTATTCTATAACTTACTGATGCTTAAACAATTATGCAATGAAGATTCCTGCTTACGCGGCCAGTTTTCCGACAACCTCTGCTGCACCTGAATTGGCTGCTCATCTAGCCTACATCCAGTTTGATCAAGCTCAACACGGAAATACTAGTTGTGGGATTGATATGCCCATAAATACAAATTCGAACTCTCAAATGACACCTCAAGGAACAGAACCATGTCCCGACTCCTCTTGTTTCCCTGTAATTTTTTATTTATTTATTTTGAACTCTTTTGGTGAAATTTTTCTTTCAACATACTCTCTGCTTTATATATATGATTTATTATCTTATTCCAATTTCTGTTACATTGCAGCAAGTTCAACCCCTGCCAAATTGGGGAGCTGATTTGCAAAGCCTCTACAGTGTGGAGTTCTATTAAGGGAAGCCCACTTCTTATTGATCTTCAATATTTACAGGTCAGGGTGGTACTAATTAAGATCATCTGTTACATTACTGTGTGTATGTGTGTGTCTATATATATATATAGTTCTTTCTTTCATCTTCTTCGTCAATAACATAAAGAGCATACCAATTTATCTTTTTGGCTTTTGTAAGACTTTGGCTTTGTTGTTTTTGTTTTACAGAAGAGTTTTTGTGACTTTGTCTTTCTTTGTTTCTCCTCTAATATATTCTATATCAAAATCGAAAATGGATGACAAAAACTCGCCATTTTGCAAAAAAATATGTTTGGAAGCTCATGCATAGGAATTTAAGCTGATGGACCGGAGAACTGGTTTTTGCAGGATGCTTACAATCTCAAGATGGAGAGCATAATTTTGGGCATTAATCATCAGCTGTTTCATAGAATTGTCACATAAGAACTTTTTCCACGAATCATGGGCTATGATTCTGTTTTCTTTTTAGTTAGCACATAATTAATTTATCTCCATGTATGGTCACAATGTTGTAACACTATGATATGTAAATATATATATATATATAATTACAAGTCTCTTTCTTTCCACTCTGTAATGAATGACTTTAGATATTTTTTCCTCTCCCCACTTTCTGTGTGTGTGTGTGTGAGTGTGTGAAGATATGATATGTGTGTGAGAGAGAAAGGGACCACAATGGGGGAAGGGTCATAAAAGGCAGATGGTGACAAAGAAGGGAGGAAGGTATTTTGGTTGGAAACTTTAACCAGTGTGGGGGCAAGGAAGATGCAGAGAGAGGTGAATGAAAGGGAAGGTGATGTATACTGAAGAGTGGTTAAGTGGGCCAACATGTAGCTCTGTTTTGATAGTAGTTTGATTGTAGCCATTCAATAGGATAAGTGATAACTAGTTAGAGAATGGCATCTTTGCTAATTATCCATAAATAGGTGTGTGAATCTCAATTAGGGAAAAAAAAATGGACCTTAGTTCAGGATTAGCAATGTTACATGGGGCTACAATCTGTATTGTTATATCGTGTTTATATCATAAGACAAAGTTAACCGAACGTAAAATTTTCAACCGAGTTGGCTCCAATGGTAAAATGGTGGGACTTAGTGCCTGATGAACATTAAATCTCAGGTTTAAATCATCTCGAGTGTGATCAATTCTTGAGGGCCACGATCATGGACATAGTTTAAATTTTATCCGATTCGTATAGAGTGATCGCTTTGCATAGGTCTCGTGAATTAGTCGAGGTGAGGTTTCGGACACCCTAGTTATCCAAAAATGTAAAATTTTTGTGGTGGTGTCAGATACATGGACACGTGTCGGTAGTGACGGACCCAGAAATATTTTTGAGGGAGGGGCGTTGTTGAAGAATAAAAAAGTTTGGAGAAAATATTTTTAGAATGAAATAACAAATATGATAATTTAATTTTTTGTGACTTGTCCAGCACATGTTGGGCCATCTCCAACTTGTGTGTCCATAAGAGAGTCGTTTTATTTTACTTTATTTTTTACTACAAATATTAATGGATGCATGAATATTTAGTGGATATTTTCAAAAATTGAGTGGGAATATGAGAGTGTGTAAATAAGAATTGATTATCACAAATGCGGGGGCTATAGAGAGTGAAAAGGGGAGACAATTATTTTTTGGATTAAAAAAACAGTGGGGGCAAGAATGTTAAGCATAAAATTGAGTGGGGCAAGAATGTCAAGCATAATGTTGAGTGGGGTATTTTTAAAATTGTAACAAAATATATAACTAATAATGTAAATAAAAAAATTTCCAGTGGGAGCATCCGCCCCCACTGGTCCTTAACTGGATCCGTGCCTGCCTATTGGACACGATTAGAAGTTGTTGTACCTATGTCTCATGTACGTATTCGTGCTTCTTAGGGCGCAATATATTATTATTATTATTATTATTTTAAGGTAAGCATATGCACCTATTATACCTCTAATAGCGTAATTTTTTTATTAAAAAAATAATTTAAAAAAAAGGTAAGCATATCACCACTATACCCCTATGGGAGTTGGACCAGCAACCGAAAAGAAATATCACTAGACTAAGCTTTTCGAGGTTGATTATCACTTATCTTATTTGCAACTTGCAAAACGTACAAGCAAAAGCATAAATAATGTCATTGAGCCGTCCTTTGAACACGTATGATTGTTGTGTATTGTACATTTTTTTTTAACACTTGTATTGTACATTTGAATCTCTTAAAATGCAACTTGAAAATAATAAATGAGCAATCGTACAAATAATGTTATTGAGCCGTACTATGGAACATGTATGATTGTAACGTATTGTACATTTGAATCTCTTTCAAGAGCTCATTTTTTAAATATCTACGATATTAAGGAGGCCGCTTTCAATCACAATCAAGTTGAAAGATCTTTCAAGAACTGATCTATGGGATTGAATAACGTACAAATAATGTCATCGAGCCGTCCTTTAAACATGTATATGATTTCTCTGTGAGGTACATTTCAATCTCTTCCATTAAATAGAGTGAATACTACGTACATACATATCTTAAATGAAGTTTTACATTGTCCAATGGAAAGGATTGAGATTGTGCATAAGTATGGTTTAATTTTAGATGTTGAGATGGAAGTACGAATGACAATTTAACCCTTCTCGACAAAGTTCATATTCTCTAATGGAACAAGTTTGGTTGTATTCTTAATATCCTATCAATGAATTAAAAAAAAAAAAAAAAAAAAAAACAGAGTCGAATGCCCAAATCCACCCCAAGTATATATATATGTGTGTGAGCGCGCAGATCCTTCTTTCTATTATTTCTTCACAAAACTCGAAATTTTTAGTTACAAATTTAAAAATAATAATAATAATAATAAAATAAGGGTTTTATTGGGCAAGTTGAATCTCCAGCGTGTTGATTGCTTGATTCATGAATAGATAAGGTGGCATGACCTTAGTGATATCTACAATATTTTAATAAGGTATACAATGTATATATATATACATATATTGTGTATTTAAAGAATCGTGTATTTAAAGAATCAAGGTTTAATAATTATGTACTCTGTATCTGTATGAAAACAGTATAAGCAATAATAAGCTAGGATGAACAAGATCACATTCTCTCCATACCTGCGTCAATGGACCAGGGGCGAACTTATACAATACTTGCGAGATAGAGTTCAACCCCTATTAGAGCAAGTGTGTGCGTCTGTTTGAAGTTTTATAAGAAAACAACAATTAAAATTAAAAAAGGAAAAAAAAAAAGAAAAAAAAAAAAAAAAAGTATAGATGGGCCAAGGAAAGGGTATTAGGTGGGAATAATTCTTGTAACATTTTCCTCACCCGAACTCGTGGTGGAGCCATCCAGCCTATTTAGGGTGTCCAAGTGAATGCTTTTAGGCCAAATATTTGGTGTGGCACCGAATTAATGATTGGGCTTAAATTTGATACCAATTGTAACAGGTCAGGTGCTTTATGATCTGGTCTAAAAATTTAAATTATTAAATTGGACTAATATCCAACTCATATATGCTCATTTCACTTTTTATCCGAATCCTACGTAGACAAGTCTTCCCTTGTAATACCAACTTATGTGCATGTTTCTTACCTAGAAAAAAAAAAAAAAAAAAAAAGGCAAAAATAAATAAGAAAATCAGTCCATGAAAGTACAGTCAATTTAACCTAATTTACCTTTTTCACTGTCTTGAAACTTAACGTTGAAGCAAGGAAATTTGGAGGGTGAGGTTGGGCCCAATACTTTTGTCTTTTTGTTAAATGCAGAATGCTCAACGGGATAAGTTATTGGGCCCACCAATACATTTGCCTTCTGCTTGGATTGGGGGACCTAACTTTTTTCCACCCTTATTTACAGGAAAAAAAAAAAACTTTTTCCTCCCTTTATTTTATAACTACAAAGATTTTTGATGTCCTATTACTTCTCTGTATTGGCTCGAAGTCAATTGAACTTCTAGTTGAAGATTTTCCCTTTTACTATTCACTAGCTTTTTCATACATTGGTGGGGTGAATTGTTAAAATAATTTCCTAAGCTATTGATTTCGTGTGTGTGTGTGTGTAAATGCCCTTATACAAAACAAAATAATAAAATTAGAAATGAAATTTTGAACCATAAAGTTTCAAACCAAAATACCCTTAATATTTTAACACTTAATTAATATAATATGTATATATAACCGAAATTATTATTATGATTTTTTTATCAAGCAAGCTTTTAAAGTTAAATTTTACGATCACATTATTTTATTTTTAAGGTAAAATTTGCAAAAAATTAATTAACAAACTTTGAAAACTAAATTAATATTTTATATACTAATAAAATATATATAAATAAGTATATACTAATAACTTATTTGTAAATAAGTTTATATACTAATAAAACTAAATTAATTAATAAATAAACTTTATATATATATATATATATATATTTTGCTCAAGGGCATTCTTGTACTTTCATTACCAAAGATAACAATTTTAACCTTGAAAGGGGGTGTCAAAGTAATTTTGTCAAAAATTTCATTACTAGGTAATATAGCTAAGTCTTAGAAGAGGTCGGAGTAATTTACCCTTTTTTTTTAATGAACATATTCGGAATTTCCCTTCTAATGTTAAATTGAAGGTTCTAAATTATTGTAATTTGATTTCTTAATTTAATGAATTTATCTCTTTATCAGAAATGAATATATATATATATATAACACAAATGTTAGTAAGTGAGGCTAAATTGTCTAACTCACTTATTAGTCATTTTAAACTCTTAAATGGTTTGCGAATTTCAAATATCCACAAATATGTGCATCAATTTTATTATTATTATTATTTTACCTTTGTAAGAAATATACTCATGAATTGTTCAGATTATCCCAAGCTTACATCCGCGCGCATACACACACACACAACACAAGTAGGAAATGCTTATTACTCCAGCTAGCAATCCATGATGGAGTGAGAGAGAGAGGAAGTCAGATTAAGGTAAAGGGTAAAATCAACCTATTTGCAAAGATCGCATGTCACACACTCTTTGCATTTGTCTTTTCCTAATAAAAATTGGTATCTGGATGACAATTTGTATTGTCATGTTACATGGGTGTGATGTCATCACATGGATAGATTATGCTATGTCCACATCAACACAATACAATTATTTTTGTGTCTAAAGAATTTCACATGAACACATAGTTATTAAACAGATAATAGGACATGCTTATCGCGTAACTGTTTAATAAACAGGTCAAAACTTTATATTACACAATAAAATGCGTTTAATTAAAATTTTATATATTAAAATCATTTTTAATATGAATATGACATTTTTATAATTTTAGTCATTTCTAACATGAACACGTACGACATGTGTAATTTACTGATCTAATCAAGTTAAATGAATTGACGGGTCAAACATAAACAAGACGCGTATAATTAACATGTCATGTCTAGCATAACACAAATTAAACGAAATCCAAACTCAATTATCTTATGTCATATTCGAGTCTCGTTAATATATCGTATCAAGTATACTATCTTTAAATGGTGAAGAGGCATATGCAACTTTTTAATAAATATAAAGGGAGATTTTT